AACGTCCTCAAATATCCCACTGTGTCGAAGTTCAGTCCACATGGTGAATATCTAAGGATAGCTGCAAGGTGGCGGCGACATGCATTCAAGAGACAATAAGTGACAAGCAACTCACGAGACAAGATGAGACAAGCAACTCACAAGACGATCCCGTCTGCGCCGAGTTCTAGATCTGCCACGATCATCTCGTCGAGACATGACGAACCCAGGTAATAGCACAAATCAACCTTGAGAAAGACTAAGACCAACAAGCTACAATTCCATGACAACGCAAGATCATGCCAAGTACAAATCAACACAAGGCAACGCATGAAAAGATCAGCAAGCGGCGCCCTAGCGTCTGTGAGACGTCACTATGATCTGATGGCTGTCTTCCCTTTTGTGAAACCTCGTTCCTGCTTAAACGTGAAATTCCGCTGGTCGATGATATGAACGTTGAGGTCAAATTTTCCGGCGAACCGGCCCGGGGTCACACGATGGGTACACCCGAGGGTCCCCCAAGAATGGGGTGTTCACACTTGAACTCCAGATGGAGGGTGCTAATCTTTCGAGTACAACTGATGAGTCTCGAGTACAACTGATGAGTCTCGAGTACAACTGATAAGTCTCTCATCGTTCGAGTACAACTGGTGAGTCTCGAGTACAGCTGGGGTTCAGCTGGTTTTGGAGAAAAGGGCAAAAAGGGGACCTTTGTTTGGGGTGGGCCCGCCAGCTGCCATGACAATGGCCCAGGCGCAGCCCCGCAGGTACGTTTGGACCCGGACACCGGGGGGCGTCTTCGTTGGCTGGAGAGAATTGCCGGGCCGGCTCCAGCCCCCTGCGTAAGAAATTGTGGTGGCAGGGTATTCTGCCACTCCGCACACACACACACACCCACACGCACACGCACACGCACACGCACACGCACACGCACACGCACACGCACACGCACACGCACACGCACACACACACACACACACACACACACACACACACACACACACACACACACACACACACACACACACACACACACACACACACACACACACACAACTCGTGACAAGGACCCATCCTGCCTCGATCAGCCAAACTTTGGTCCCTAACAAAATCAACATTCAAACATAACTCCGCACTGAACAACAAGCCACCAGCCATTGTCGGGTATGGAGAATTCCCTATGAATACTGGAATGGACCAACTGGTGCCTGCCACCCACCAGCCATTGTCGCAGAGTATGGACCAACCAACCAACCAACCAACCAACCAACCAACCAACCAACCAACCAACCAACCAACCAACCAACCAACCAACCAACCAACCAACCAAACCACCCAACCAACCAACCAACTGGAATGGACCAAACAACTGATGAGTGCCGTGGAGTTTGTCCAAACCGTCGAGCCACTTCCCCGTCCCCAGCTGGGCCGCCCCGGCCAAAGGCACCGCTTGGAAAACGGTCATGGCGGTGTCGCAACCCGGGTGCCGAACTCGGGATGAAATTAAAGGCATGACAACCGTAAACCAAACGAAAGCAAACATTACAGCACAAACATGCATATGTGTATGTATGTGTATATATATACGAATACATATGAATATATATATATATATATGTATGCTTACACACATACATGAAACACAAAACCAAAACCATAAGAAGATTGATTGATAAAATATCAGGGGAGCTGACCTCAATCGTGAGAAAACGGATGGATTGATTCGGGTCTATGATTGGCAAGGCTTGACATGCAACAAAAGATTCCAGAAATAAGTTCTGAACACGTATTGAAAGCCTCAAGCATGAAAGTCAGGCCGGATATCCGCACCTATGGTTGAACTGTCCCCTAACCAACATCTACATAGTTTGTGGGATGCTCATTCCGACGAGTTTATCACTCACAGATAGGGGCGGGCCCTAACCTTGCCAAAACGCCTAAGCGTTGAACCCATGTGGAAGCTTGGAACCAAACAAAAAGTGAACAAGGTCGCGGGTGTAAAGGCTCAATTTGCCACATTCCCGAACCAGTGATTGTTCAAAAGCTTAAACGCTTAGAGGTCGCTGGTCCAAGAGCTAAACGCGTTGCTTCGTGGAAAGCCATTTGTTTGACAGCTCGGAAGCGTAATAAACTGTTGGTGTAAACAGATGAATATGTTGCTTGTGAATGAAGAACTGGTCATTCTCCCGAAGGTAATCATGAAGGCTTAAAGGATGTCATTGGATACAGGCGAACGTCTTGGTAATTAGTGGGGAAGCGAACATGTGCAAACACAATAACAGGGGCCCTTCATGTGACCAAGGGTACCCCCACCTCTTTGTTCTGCTCAGTTTACGTCGAGGGAGCAAGAAAGCTTTGAAACAGCTTTGTAGTTTGGAGGAGAAAGCTCTCAAGTGAATGGCATGCTAAGAATCTATTGCATTTGGCTTGACGTATTCAACGGGCCACATCCAGATCCGAGTAATGATTTGTGATCCGAGCAGGAGTTGCATTGCATGCAGATATCGACATTGGCACCCCACGAAACGCCTGTTCACTGGAGCGAGGGCACCCCATCTCTGTACAAGGTGCAGTGTCTGCGCATTTGCCAGCTGAACCTCCCCTTCTGGTGAAGCAGAAATTGCGCTACGCATCTCATGATTGGCTGCAGAGAGGTATGAAATCGCACCTCTCTAGGCTTCGTTCGGCACCCGGAAGCAACATTTGCGGGCCTGCTGCCCATCCGCTGCCTGCATGCAGGACCAGTACATGGGTTGGGCCCTACTGGCCCCGAACTCCAGCTTTCTTGGGTGGCAGCCTTCACCTCGGCCTTGGGCCCGGATGACCTGCACGGATCGCTGGTTGGCCCCGCGCGGCCGTTCCGGGGGTTTGGCGGTCTGAGAGACGCCAGAGACGCCGAAGAAAATTTGAGCGGCTTCCGGTGCCGCTGACTCACGGACTGAAACGGTCAGAAACTCGTTGGGCTGAATCCCCAGCATAGGTGGCCTTTTGGAAGAACAGATGGCCCTGGCAAATGGAATAAACCCCATCTTTTTTTTTTCACCAAACTAGACTAAAAAGGACACCTCTGATCTCCAGAAGTGCTATCCCTCTTCAGCTCAACAGGATCCGCTCTGCTATCTGGGGTAGTCGGAGTCCCAGCCCGAATCATAGTCAGCGGTCTCCGAAAGCTTCGTATGGATCCCGCGAGAAAACCTCCCGCCCAACACGTTGGGTCTTCCTGGGTCTTTCGCTCCATCAAGGTTGCACGGCTCAGCCATGGGATCCGAAGCGGAGAGAATCTCGGCTGAGGCTTGACTCCCAGTTTCTCCTTGCTTTCCCTGTCCGCCTTTTTTTGGGGGGCACACTCAAAAGACAGAACTTCTCCGCCGGAAAAGAGGATTGCATTTTGAGTGAGGCGCCCGTCTTCGGTTGGAGCCACTGGTAGAGTTTATGCACACGTGTTATCTTGAGATGGATGCTTTGTCCGCCCAAAACGACTCATGACTCATTTGCTTGCCAACAGTTTGCTCGAGGGTGGAGTAATCTGAGCAGTCAAGAAATAGATTGTGTGACCCACTGGCATGGGAGTGGATTTTTGGTGAGTGTCCCGTCCCGTGCCCATGTCGTCTTTTCTGCAGCAAACAGAAGCTATTGACCGTTGCTGGATGCAAACAAGCGCGTGCCCCGGAGTAGTTACAGAGGGAAAAGCAAAGTTCCAAGCTGAAGACGGGGATGAGGTCATACACCCAACCTGATCCTCACATCAAAAAAGGAATAAACAGTTTGGGGCGACGAATCCTGTTGTTGGCGTGTCTTTCCTTTCAGGGTACCCCCTTTTGGTGTTCAAACCACTATTCTGTGGGCTATTTCGTGGGTCTCTTGAAGGCTTCAACAAATTGCATTTCTTGGGAGTTAAGCTTGGCTTTCCTCCAGCTTGCTGTGCCATGCCACTTGGCCATCTAGAAACAAGCAAAGCCTTCGCCCGTTTGCACCCAACCATGTAAATCTAAGAGCCCCGCCTCTTCCCAACCCGCAGTACGTTGACAAACTATTCGCTGTGCAGCGTAAAATTGACAGAACCATAGAACCCAACAAGCAAAGAACAAGGACCCAGCTGTTTCGGTTCTGACCCCGAAAAAAAAACCATCACACAACTGTGAAATTTATCATTCCAAACCTGACAAACTAGGAGCCTTGGAAAAGAGCCTTTCACCGGGATCCTTTGGACGAGTTGGCCAAAAGGGTATTTCGGCCAGTGAGACCCATGGTGTCCTTTTAAACTTTTGGACAAGATGGATTCCGCAGGTAAATGCTGTGGTGGCTTCTTGTTTGATGTGGACCCCCCTTTTCATAAACCCCCCACTTACTATCACGCGGATCACTTTAGAGTAGGTGTGTTTTCTTGCAGAGGAACATTTGTAACTCGAGGTTAGTCGACAGGGAACCAACAAGCTGAAACCAGCATCTATGTTCAAGCAAACAATCTCAGTTTACTCCAGGGACTGGTGAGGTAAACAAATGTTCAAGCTAGCTGCAGCCAGACTGAAAACATAACTTATTTCATCATCTGAGGCCCAAACCCTAAAGTCATAGGTGACCAAAGAAACCATGTAACAATCTATCTTCATCCAAAATAAAACTGCACCATAGGCGGTTGCCTACACCTCATGAGTAGGCCTTTGGAAAATGGCAACGAATGAGAAGCAATTGAGATTTCGGGTGTTCGACACTCCTTTTATCAAGAAAAGTATGTCTTCCAAAAGTCCGCACGTCAAACCATGTTGGGAGGATAGCAATTTTGGCAGCCCCCATGTTAGAAACACCCATTCATACAGAACCCAAAGGAGGGTTCCTCTAGAAGCAGGTTGTGAGGGAATCTTCTGGGACCTACATGAGGTATGCTATTTTTGGACACACCAAAATCCGTGCGCAAAGATGCAGTTCGAAAGGGGTCTGCTCACCAAACCATATTTGGCAGGAGGGCACCAATTTCAGGTACTTCCAACACTGAACTCAATACCTACCAAAAAAAAGCAGAGGCCACCACAGAAACCACAGGTTGCCTATTCAGGTCGTTTAAGGACACCAAGGGCTCCGGTTCTCACCACGGCTCCGTCGCTGTGGACCTACGACTCGAGGTCACGGAGACCGGGGAAGAGGCGTTGTCCGCCACCTGACGGCGACGGACCGTTGAGCGGCGCGAGTGCAGGCACCCTGATCCAAGGGGTAGCCTCCCCCGGACGTGAGAACCTTACCTCGAATCCCAAACTCCCAAAACCCCCCAAACTCCCAACCCCCCAAACTCCCAAATCCCCCAAAAATCCCTGAAATCCAAAACCCTAAAACCCCAAACATCCCAAAATGCCAACCATCCCAAAACGCCAACCATCCCAAAATGCCAACCAAATCCCACAAATCCCCGAAATCCCCAAGTCCCTAAACCGCAGAACCCTTCTCCCGAGGCCTGCTGCAGTGCTCGGCTCAGGAGTGCCGCCTGCTCTGAGAAGGGTTCTGACCTCGGACGTTGGGAACCGAACCCGCCCCGGAGACGAAACCGGCTTCGACGAATTCCTTTCTTGGCCATTCCGAAGAAGCCCTCCAAAAATTCACCTAAACGGATATGGTAAGGAGCAATTTTTGCGGGCCCTCCATGCATTTGCTCACTGGAGTGGATTGGCCGAAAAGAGTGCGCACACACTTTGTTTGCCACTAGAATGGTCTGCCAAAAAGCATCATGAAGTCCAGCAACTCAAGGAGTGAGCTTGCCTTGCATCAACGAGAAAAAGCAATGGTTGGGCTGGAACTGCTCTGCACGGGGCGTAACCCAAAAATATTAGTGTTGTGTTCCTTGAAGAAGGAGAATGGGGAAGGGTTTATTGCGGGAACCCCAGCGCGCACTATGTGAGGGTTGATCCTTATTTTCATTTGTTTACCTCCAGCCCCCTTTTTCCCTACTCACAAAACACCGCAAAAGCGGTGGTCAAACCTTGTGGTTAGTGGTATAATCCTGAGCTAAGATTATTGGGGACAAAACAGGATGAATCAACCCGCGTGGTGAATCGATACGGGCTGTTCCATTTCGGACAGGATCCTTCTTTTTTAGAGGAAACCATCTACCAACAAACCCACCAATGTTAGAGGCGTGGAGAAACCACAACCATTTGGGGCCACAAACGTGAAAAACCATCTAGTGAACATGACCACAGAGTGCTGCAAAAACATGCTACAAGTAGAGAGGGGGAAAAATGAAGAGGCAATCGCGACCCCGGATTAATAAGCCCCTGCTTATTAATATGGGGGTGTCCCCATGTTTAGTAGGGTGTTTATCACTTGGAGGGAACGACCCCCATATTATGTCACCATTAAGGGTCAAACCGAAGAGCGATCAAGTTTTCGAAGGACAGGCAAAATGGGCTGTCGGCATGGGCCTACAGGGCGGGGTGATGGCTTGACATTTCTAGGTCTTCCATTTGGTCACTTTTTGGGGCTCTGGGCATTTGTTTTTGCTCGTTTCAGATGTTGAGCCGAAAAACAAAAAATGAGCGGAAACCTTGATTTGGCATGATTTGGCGAGTTTTCTCCCGGAAAATGAGCGGAAATCAGCGGAAAATGAGCAGACATCTGCGGGAAATGAGCGGAAATTTGCGGACACACACCAGAACCATTTTCCAATTGAGCGTGTTCTTTCTGACTGGGCGTTTTTGGATGAAATGAGCGTTATTTTTGCTCGAAACGAAAAATCCAGAAAAAGTGCCCACGGAAGACCTAGGTCTGTGCAACGAATCGAAATCCGATGTACGCGATCTTCAAGCGAAGGAAGCTTCATCTGTCATGCGCTCGCTTTTTCTTGGGTACAGCACCTTGCAAGCGGGGAAGGTCAAGGGTTGCAGGGTGCTACGGGACTATCCCCTTGCAAGCACGCGAGAATCAGCCTCGAAACGGCATTCTCCGCAAAAAAAAACGCAGCTGCGAAAGACCCGAAATCCTCGTTCTCCTTGGACAATATTTTGCAACCCACAAAAGGCCCAGCAGCAAATCAACTAGGTCCTCCAGCAGAGAGATTAGAATAAGGGTACCCTTTTTCTGTGGTCTATCGTAGTAGGGGAACCCTCCCCCAAAAAAGGGAGAGAAGGGCAGTCCTAGTCAAGCATGGCGATAAGACCTAATCCTGAGGCAGTGGCGCCGGTGCGGCGACGCTCGCCTGAAAACGGGACATCACTCACTTCCGATCGAGCGGACTGCCAAAATAATCCGATCACTAAAATGGTCTTCCCAAAAAGTGACTGAAGTCCATGAAATCGATAAGTGAGAACATGAAGCCAAAAATTCCGAAACGGCTTCCAAAAGAGATTGCCGGAGTGAGTCTCAGGGTCTGGGGAGCCTCACTTTCAAGCAAGGTGCTTGTTTGTGCTGGGCACTGCAATCAATGGCCAAATCAGTGGCCAAAGTCCAAAGGCTTGTTGAGCAGAAAAAGGTCGTATGGCCATGAGTGTCCAGTCCCAATAATTTTCCCCTCATCCCGGAGAACCCGCGGCCGCTGCACACATCATATGACTGAATCGCGAGACCCAGCGGCCGCCAGTGGTTCCAAACCAGGGATCCAGGGGCCAACGTTTCTTGGACGCAATTCTTATCTGAGCGCAGCAAAACCCCGGGGTCAAGGTTCACCCTACCCACGTCTGGGCATTTCCATGTCTCCCCCTTTCCCAGCGCCTGGGAAGCCAATTGTGGAGCACCTGAGCTCGTTACACGAGCAGTTGCGTTCCCTCTGGCTGAGAATCAATGAATTAGAGCAACTCCAGGAAAATCGGTCAAATATTTCCTATAGAATTTCCTGTAGACTGCACCGCGCACACAAACATCGGTGTGTTTCCGCCTGGGCAGTCTCTTTTAGTGTCCCGTTGGGAGTCAGTTTGTCTCGCACCATATCACCTGTCAAAAGACTGGCTACCGCAGTGGATCCAAACCATGAACCAGCCAAAAAGACAAAGTTTTTGCGGCCGGATTGGGGTACAAGAACGGGGGCACGAGGCTACTTGACGGTAGCCCACCACCCGAGCTTCCTCCCGGGAAAGGATTCTCACGAACATTTCAGGGGCCATGATCCCTGCAAAACCAAACACCCCTGACTGAATTTAGACAATGAGTATTTGAGAGCTACTCATTTTTTCATACCTGGGTTTGACTTTCGCTGGGGCACCCTCTTTTGGTCAGCGTTTGAAGGAAGCTAGTCATTTTGGGTTCCCCTAATCAATCTTGAGACACCCCTAATCTGTTATTTTTTCCTCTCCGCTTGGGCTGTTCAAAATGGAGGGCCAATCCTCACCCTGGATGCCTTCCCCTAAAAGTGAAGGATCCCATACTACATGGAACAACCCGTATTGATTCACCACCCAGCGGGTTGATTCATCCTGTTTTGTCCTCAATATTCTTAACTCAGGATCAATAAACTTTTGGTTGGGTTGGGTGGGGTTGGGTGGGGTGGGGTGGGGTGGGGTGGGTTGGTTGGTGTCCCAAGTTGAGGAGGCTGTTTGCGGGGCTAGCAAGACTACTTACAATAAATCCAAAACTGGAAATTCAAAAGTTGGACCAAGGACAGGCTCTAAATCATAATGAGCCCGCAGAGCTCACCCAAGAATAGGCAGACATACCCCAAATCATGTTGGTTATCCTTGTGGTTTCCCTTTCAATCTACCTCCAAAAGGCTGCCCTCAAAACAAACACCATTGATCTTGCTGGTGCTCTGTGGACGATGACCTTCCGGGTTTTGGGAACTGGGGACTGCATTAAAGGAAACCGTAGGCGATGTGTTTTTTGTTTTTCTCGTCCTCTGTCCATGTCTCCTTCCCTTATCGAGCCAACCGCCAAGGCGCCAATGGCGGACAAGAGCTGCTGCTGCATCTGGAGCATTTGCACCAACTGATCTGCCACGTTCATGACTCTCGGGGAGGCCTCGCCATGAGAAAGGCGGAAAATGTTCGGCGCGCCGATGGAGGATTTTGCAGATGTTCGAGGCAAGCCTGCCAATGAAGTACATAGTCCCCTTTTCGAAGTCCGTCTTCCTGGTACGGGACCACTAACTCGCGTGGGAGGGTCACATGTTTCCAAGACAACCACTTTTGGACACATCCTTCTGGTTAAGTCACTTTTAAAATATGCGAAGGCCAAAACATCTGCCGATTCAGGTGTCCTCTAACGTGGGGCTTGCAAATTGGATGCTCCCCGATGTCTCTGCTTGTGCAAGGTCCCGTGCAACTCACCATCCAAACGTTGCTAGTGTCCCACGTCAGTCGATCCACACTGCTAGCGGCTATTCGATTTGCCCACGTCATGGCCACAAGATGTCTCTGTCTTGTCGAAGTATACAGTATTACCTCACCATCTTCCCACACCAATTTCCAACGAATCAGTTTCACCCTCCTCTGTTGCGGAGGACGGGTATCTGGCAAATCTGGGCAACGATTGGTCTCCAGGGATCTTCAAGGAATCGTCATCACATGGCCCATTTCGGCTAGTTGCCTGGTGACCCTGGAGGAAGAAGGCTGCGCTTTGGGATTTACCATGTATGCTGGGGGTCAGCAAAAATATGTTGGAAATTTACAGCATGTTCTAAAAAGAGAGAGATGGTTGGTGCCAGAGAAACTCCAAATACCCACTTTTTGGTGGGCACTCTTGAATCACGGGTTCTGTGGCAAATTCCTGCTTTTTCCGGGTTGGCACGTTCAAAAAGGGTGGGGTAGTTGGTACTCACGGCGTAATTAATTAGTGACCATGATCTCTCAAACACTTTTTGGGGCTTGGGGGGGGGGGGGGGTGGGTGGTTGTGTGTTTTCAAAGATGTTGACTTTGTGCCAACTAATGCAGACACACACGCAGACAGACGCACAGCACACGCGCGCCGACCGTGCGTGCCAGAACCTCTGTGCACACACGCTGTCCATGCACAGGCCGCACAGATGGACATACACTGAGCGCAATGACATTTGAGCTGACTGTGGCACTTGGGCATCGTGCCCTCAGGTCTGTGGTGTGTGCCCTGTCAGAGCCACCAGAACCCAACGGTTGTGATGGTCAACTTGCATTGGCTTGAGTCGATAGACATGTTGAACAGAAGAACAAGAAGCTCAGACACGCGTAGTCTTCAACTTGTGTAGACAGAAGAGCCGCTCAGACAGGCAAGAACGGCAGCCGAAGAAAAGTTAGCTGCGCGGGAAGTGTGGCAGCAAGTGTGCTGCGCTCTCTTGGGAAAGGCAGAAAACAAGATAAATGTGCTGCGTAATACAGCAAGTGAGACAATGCCTCAACTTGCCACTTGAAATGGCACTGGTAATTGCCATAGGTTTGGCTTTGACCGATGCAATGATGGCGTTGCGGGGCCCCACGGTCGCCAACGACGCCGTGACCTAGTTGGAGCACCCATAATGGCCTATGGCCAAAATTCCCAGATCTCCCAAGAATCAGCAGGGGGGCGTTCCTGCCGGCTCCATCCAATTTTTGTACGGGTCCGACCGCTCAAGCGACCGCGCCTCCCGGTCTCGTGGGCGCAGGCGCCCGTGGATGGTGGGTGGCGGGGTGGAGGCCACGGAGTGGGGGGACAAGGCGCCCATCGAGGCGTCCTCTCACGGCTTGGAATGACTTTACATCGACCACTCACTTCCGTTGGAGTGGATTGGGCCTTAAAAACGTCCCGGAGCTTGTTATTTACCAACATGGTCTTCCCAAAAGAATGACCGGAGTGCAGGTGCTCAAGAAGCGAGACCGCCCGAAAATGGTTGATGTCCGAGTTGCCGCAAGAACAAAACCAAAAGAACCTCGCAGAAGGTTAGGGGCAAAGATATGCAAACGCCGGGCTGGGGCTTAGTTGGGGTTTCTTCCCGACCGACACACCTGTTTTTGCCTTGAGATCAGATCAAAATGGAATCCTGCGGGTGTCCCAAGGGCTGTTCAGGCCAACAAAAAAAAACACTCATTTATGAATCGACCCTCCATGCACGTCATACTTGCCTGTGCATGTGCCGCAATTCGCTCAATTCTCGAAATGAAGGTACATAATGAAGCCTGAGGGAGTGCATAGTTGTGACTCACCAACACTGTAACGTTGGGGATTCCAAATACTGGAATTGCTTGAAATCACCTTCAAAAACGCTGGATGTCAACTGAATTGCTTGAGACCCTGACTCTCTGCAATCTGTGAGGCCAGTTGCGCAAAAGCTTGACCTTTGGCAGTGCATATGCTGCAAACACACACACACACACATGTTCCAAACGCTAGAAGTTAAAGATCCAGGCAAAGGGGTGCGTGTCCGTTTTTGTGCTTTGTGTGTTTTGTTTGTTGCGTATGGCTTTCGGGAGATGCTCAAGGCCTCCGTATCAAACTCAAAGCCTGTGATCTGCTCCCTCGAATTGTGAGGTTCAGGCCAATGCCGGGACCGATCCAGAAGCCTTCCGCTCGCTGTGTTGGATTGATTCAAGCAATGTTATCCCTTGGTCCGAAAAGGAACCAAAACGAAAACCACCAGTTGTGCCAAACTCCCCGCTTTGACACCTACCATGGCCGAGCAGTGTCTCTGTCTCTCAGGCGCTGGCCGACACGGTGCCTCAGTCGCGGACTGGTCAATGTCCATCGCAATCCGCGAATTCGCCAGCGGGAATTGGGAATCCACATTTGTTGCAAGGGAAAGGGATGACACAATACCCAAATTTTGCCCACAATTGTAAATACCCAGAGGGAAACCTCCACAATTGTGAAATGGAATGGGATGACAAATACCCAAATCCGCCCGTCCAAATGTCCTTCCCTGCCAAGTGTGGTCCGGACACGAGCAGCATTGGAACTTGGGGCTGGTAAGACCCATTTGGTATGGGCATGTCATCCACTTAGAGAGGTAGTTGTTCCTCATCGGACGGTGATGATTCATGCAAGCAAATGTAAGGAGGCCTCACTGCTTGATCAAACTCCTTCTAATTGTCACGCAGTGCTCTAGGGTCTACGGATCTTGGTGAATTTCAATAAAACCATGGCACAAGTGAACTGAATGCCAGCACAGTCATCTTTGAAAAACGCATGTCAAGACTGACGCAATGGAATGTAGGGAGTAAGTCACAAACACGAGCCTATTGGCCCATTCCAAATCCCCGACTTCAAAAGACAAGGGCGGCTTTTGCTGTTTCACAACTGCTTGGCCATGTCGCTGTGTCACAAGCAGGTCCAAACGCCCACGAGAACCATCAACTACCAGCTCTGGCCCAGTATCATTGGAAAAAAGGGGGCCAAACAGAAACAAGCTCCCTACATGTGATTGTATTCTGAGAAGAACCCGACAACGCAGCACGCCAACCACTTGGCTTGTACCTTTAGACCCTCTTCTTAGGGGCACCTTTTGGTTGATGCTAGCCGGGCGAGCATCCTGAACTTCTCAAGCCAAGCGAGCTGGAAAAAATGAGGCGCTCGCCATGGAGGTCCTGTACTGGGGGAATCCTTATGGCCCTGTTGGGCCTTTTTCTAGACTGACGTCCAACCCTGTTCCCAAAAAAGTTGCAAGCTCACCAATCACGTGAGTCCAAAAGTGTTGATCCGTCCAGCAAGCCCGGGCAACTTAGCTGCCCATTGGCGAAAGCACAAAATAACACGGGCAAGTTGCGGGCAGGTTCTTCTTTTGTGGTTGGCCACGTTCCGCGAACCAACCTCAAGGAAATACTGTGGATGGACGAAATCCTGCACCACCTAAGAAATCCTGGAATGATGATTCCCCTGTAAATACCAACAAACACAGGTTTTTCATGGCTTCTTAGGTGGTGCAGGATTTCGTCCATCCACAGCACCACCAAAAAGGATTCGCCTCCTGACTTGGAAATGCTGACCCCTTTCCGAGGAAGTGGCTGGCGGTCTCCGATCTCAAGTCGATCCGGAAGCCGGACCTTGGCCCAAAAAACGAGAAGCGGGGCTCACTTGCCTTGGGTGTGGAACATAACCCTCCCACTAATTAACATGGAACCTGCAACAGGGGGTCCTGGAAGACAATTTTCCTTTGAAAATCACCCCCTGTCAGGTTCCTTGCGGGAGGGTAAATGTTAAACCGTCTGGCGCAAGTGGCAGTTCTCCCTTTTAGATAGTGCGTGAGAAAGTTGATGATTCGGGGGCCCTAGGCTACCTCCAATTTGGTTCGTTCAAGCACCACGCGCCAAGGTCCAGGACTTGATCTGTTTCCTTGTGTCTGAAGAGAAAAACATAAGGATGCCTTGATTCGAAGGTCTTCACTCCATTGTCACATGATGTTAATCTAAACCGATCCAAACCGATCCAAACTGATCCGAACCGATCCAAACCAATGCAAGCCGATCCAAACCAATCCAAGCCGATCCAAACCGATCCAAACCGATCCCAATTTCGTAAGAGTTCCTAAGAGTTGCCTAAATGTGTCACCGAATGCTTGGTGCGCATCTCAAACGCGCTTTGTTCGGTCCGAGGCGCGGGAAGGGGAAGCTCGCATTGCCGTTGCCATCCCAGGCGGTTCTCGAAGACCGGGCCTCAAGACGCCGAGCTCTGACCAGCAGTGCGTTCTTTTTTGGAGGGTACCGAGCAGGGATCCTTACATTATACACCTGAACATTGCCTTGTCAATGGTGATTTCGCTTCATTTTGATGGAAAAAGCCATGTTTCAAATGGGCAAAATGTATCTTTTAAGGAGCCCTGCCGAGGTTTTGTGGTTTAAAGGAAAACGAAAGGAGCAAAAAGCACCACATATATGTATATATATATATATGGTCCCGTGTTCCGTGTTGCTCCCCCCCTCCCCCGCCCGGCCCAAGACCCCGAGCCCCCGGATCCTGTCACCTACGGTCCCACCCCCACCCCGACCCCCTGAACTCGCACCCCGACACCCCGGCACCCCCACCCCCAGGACAAGCCAACCCGCAACCAACCATAAACCAACCCTAAACTAACCCTAAACGAACCCGAAACCAACTCTAAACTAACCCTAAATACACCCTAAATATACCCTCTGACCCATGACCATTGGTGGGGGGGGGGGGGGGCTGGCAACGCTGTACCATATATATATATATATATATATTTATATATATATAACGCTGTACCATATATATATATATATATATGTATATATATATATATATATTATTGTCCCCTCAACAGCTGAAAAGCTTTGGGGTCTCAGCCCAGATAAGCTACAGGGTGGCCCGGGGCGGCCCTGAGGTAAGGTTCCACAAGGCACCAGGGTTCCACCAGGGTTCCACCAGGGTTCCACCAGGGTTCCACCAGGGTTCCACGAGGTTCTGCGAGGCTGCCTGGTGGTGCGAGCACTAAAAAGAGCACCGCATGCTGTCGGGGATATCACCTGAGCTTATTTATGTTATTTTATGTATATATTTTTGTTTGGGGGGTCCCTGAAAAAAGACCACACACCCAAAGGCCTAAAGACGACCCAAAGCCCCACAGGCACCCTACCCATGCGACCCGCACTTCGAACTCGCCGAGCGTCTGATCGGAGCGATCGCGCCGTGGAGAGCTGGCTCTCTGAGGCATAGTCGTCCTCATCGCGGTGTGGGGGGGGGGGGGTCGTTTCTCCGGTGGTTTCGTCCGGCTTCGTGAGACCTCCATCTTAGCCCCTGGAACTTTATGGCAAAAAAAGTGGGTTCTTCAGCAAGAAACTGGAAGTGCACGGCCTTTGCCCAGAGGAGAGTCATCTTCCGCGTTGGTGGGTGGAGAGGTAGTTGATTGAACACCCACTGAGAACATCCTGCACAATACGAGAGAGAGAGAGAGAGAAAAGAAAAATAGAGAGAGAGAGAGAGAGAGAGAGAGAGAGCCCTTCCTTCGCACTGTTTCTTGGTTTCCATAAACCACACAAATGGGAGCCCAGGATGAATCATGTTCTTTAGTTTTTATTGGGGGGTGCAACCCATCGGAGACGATCCGGATCCGGATCATGTCTCCCAAGTAGTCATCCGCCAGGTCGACAATATAAAAAAAGAAGTTGGATAACTTCATGATTCATTGCACGTAAGGGAGTCGTGCAATTTACCACATGCTGGGTGGTGTACCTGCAATGTTGGGGCACTACGCAAGAAAACCAAATGCAAAAGGTTTACCTTTTGCCCCTTGATCGAGCATGCTCAAAAGCATCCCATGCAAATGGGCATCGACATCCCCAAAGCCTTTGCGGCTGCACCAATGCTATGGTTGGGATTCTCCCTTACTAATCTTCATCCACTCGCCTCCGTGGATTGGCCAACAAGAAAGTCGTCCAAACTGTTCATTTTTCCGCTAAAATGGTCCAAACCTCAAAAGTAACTCAAGTCCAGGAACTCCGGAAGTGAGTCTATCCTTGGGTTTGGATTGCTCATCTGAGCCAGGTGCCCGGGCCAATGGGACCTGACACCGTGGCGAGTCCGGGCTCGCCTCGGAATGCGAATCTAAGCACCTACCATGGAATTTCCTATGGCTTGGGGAACATGGGGAACCTGCGAGGAGACAAAATCCGGCCCCTCCGACCTGGACTTGCTCCAAGGTCATGGGAAAGCCAAACACCCAATGGGCAACAAGCAGGAGCTCCTCCGGTTCGGCATGCTAAGGGAGGAGAGACAAAGAGAAACCAACGAAAGCGTGGGGAACATGGGGAACCAACTGGGACGCCACTGAACCTTCCACACAGAAAACAACGCGAATGGAAGAAGCGGACCAGGCAACAGGCCAAATGTTGAATATCTTCAGCATCCAAACACGCTCAGATTTAGGGGAGATAGTACCAGGCTCAAAACTCTGATCATGGGGCCATGGCTCCCGTTCGTACAATGGTTCTGGGTGTCTCCAAAGGGTTGATGACACCTTCTGACCAAGCGAAACATTGAGAGTGTCGTCTTGCTTCGAAAGCCGAGACCCTGACAGAAACCGAGGCGCATTCAACACGAAAACAACCGGCGCTGCTTTCATTATTATGTGTTGTGCGTCGAATGAGTTACAAATTTTGCCAAATATCACTTTGTTTTCCGCATTGCGTTTCACATCGAGGACTCATACTATCAATGAAGAAAAACAACCACCCTCCGTGCATCGTTCCGCAAGAAGGACCACAACTGCCAAGGAGGAGTGTTGTAAGTCATGTGGATTCATAGCAACTCCTCGCAATGCAGCCAGTGCTTGTGCCCTGGGCTTGTCCATGTTGACCCCCTTTGGGGAGTCGTCTTAAGGGGAGGGGATCTCCCTAGTTGGTCAGTTGAAAGGACACGGCCGGAACTCGGCTGCTGCGAGGCACCGGTCGGCTGCCTTCCTGGCTGCTAGACTCCTGACGAGGCGTTCTCTTGCCCGAGACGGCGTTTCGTGAGGCCTGCTGGCCGTTCCGGGATCTGGAGATTCCCCTCCAAAAAGCGAGAGCCTGTTCTCGGGTGCCCCTCAAGTAAGGTACCTCCCATAGATTCTATGATGTTAATGTTTAACGCTCGCACAAAAAAATAACAACTAGTTAAACTGAAAAAGCGACTGGGCGTTGCATTCTGTAGCAAAGGACCGTCAGAACGCCTGTTCCAAATCTGGCAATTGGATCAAGCATTTCATCCACATCATGGCTGAAAGCTTGGTATGCTGTGATACAAAACTCCAACTCCAAACTTTGAATCTCCAGTAGCCTCCAGCGAGAGCTGGCATGCAAAACAAACAGACAGACAGACAGACAGACAGACAGACAGACAGACAGACAGACAGACAGACAAAAAACAGCCAGCAAGCAAGCAAGCAAGCAAGCCAAGCCAAGCCAAGCCAAGCCAAGCCAAGCCAAGCCAAGCCAAGCCAAGCAAGCCAAGCAAGCAAGCCAGCCAGCCAGCCAGCCAGCCAGCCAGCAAGCAAGCAAGCAAGCAAGCAAGCAAGCAGGCCAACAAGCAGGCCAACAAGCAAGCAGGCGAGCCAACAAACAAAAAAGCAAGCAAGCAGGCAAAAGAACAAACAAGCAGGCAAGCAACACAGCAAGAAAGCAAGCAAGCAAGCCAGCAAGCAAGCAAGCAAGCAAGCAAGCAAGCAGGCGAGCGAGCAAGCGAGCAAGGAAGCCAACCAGCAAAAAACGAAAAAGCAGTCAGCCAAGCAAGCAACAAGCAAGCAGGCAGGTAGGCAAGCGAGCGAGCGAGAAAGCAAGCGAGCGAGCGAGCAAGCAAGCGACAAAAAGCCAGGCAAGCAAGCAAAAAAACAAGCAAAGCAACCAACACAAGCAAGCAAGCCAAAAAACAACAAGCAAACAAGCAACAAAAACAGCAAGCAAGCAAGCAAGCAAGCAAGCCAAGCCAAGCCAAGCCAAGCCAAGCCAAGCCAAGCCAAGCCAAGCCAAGCCAAGCCAAGCCAAGCCAAGCAAGCAAGCCGAGCAAGCAAGCCAGCAAGCCAGCCAGCCAGCCAGCCAGCCAGCCAGCCAGCCAGCCAGCAAGCAAGCAAGCAAAGCAAGCAAGCAAGCAAGCAACAAAAAAGCAGGCAAGCAAGCAAAAAAAACAAGCAAGCAAGCAACAAAACAAGCAAGTAAGCAAAACACATCAGGCAAGCGCAAAACAACAAGCAAGACAACAACCAAAGCAAGCAAGCAAAATACAAGCAAGACATCAACAAAAAAAAGCAGGCAAGCAGCAAAAACTCAGGCGAGCAAGCCAACCAAAACAATCAAGCAAGCAAAATAACAACAATCTTCCCACCCCTTCGCATCCGTTCGCCTGCCCGGGGCCAGCCCGCTCCGGCACCCGCTGCAGGCGCCTGGCGAAGGAAAAACGGGCCCGACGGCCGAACATGGGGCCAGTGACCCGAACGGCAGAAAAAGTTTTTGGGGATTCACTCTCTATATGTTGTTGGGGAGCCCATCAAAGGAAAAGGGATTTAGAGGGTGGACTCCAGTGCACAGCTGAGGCAAGCCATGGTGGAAATCAGTGCGGATCCAAACATCCTGGCTTAGGGCCACTAAACATAGTTTAGTGGCCCACTCACACACAGTGGCCATACAGCCCCATTCTCCAACAGAATGGGCTCGCCATGGCTCTCTTCTCCGAAGGGCGCCTGTTCATAGGCCCGTGATCAACAGACAAACACCTCATTGGCTCGTTGAGCCGAGGACATCCCTTGCGTTGATGACTCGAAAAGACGCCTTATGAATCCCTAGGGTAAATTTGGGTGTCTCCCCAAGATAGGGTCAAAATTGATATGGCTTCCTTTTGGTGTCCCAAGCACCCATGTTCCCCCACCTTAGCCAAGTTTTGACTTCTTGAACCCTTGGCGAAGGGAAATTGTTGCGGGGGCAAGGCCGGGATGGAAAAGGCTACTAGGCGAAGATTGTGTGGATGGTGTAGAATTGATTCCTGAAATGTGTATATTCCTAAAAGCTGATTCCTAAAGTAGGTTGCATGATACGAACTTGAAAAAGGCTACTTTCGCAAATCGGTTGCATCGCCACATTCATATGTGTTCCTTCAAGCCCAGTTGCAGCTTTAGTCCCTGCTTTAGTCCCTGGGTAAGGGACACGCCGGTGAGAGAGGCCAAGCTACTGGCCGCCGCTGAATTAAATTCACATACTTCACCCCATCTGAGTCATAATCAAAACCCGGTAATAAAATGGTCGACCCAGCACCATGTAAATAATGAGGAAGGCGGCCGCAACTATTTTTGGTTGGGACTGTCCCTTACTAACCTTCTTCTACCCGGGTTTTGAGCACGTGGCTCATCTCTTGGATCCCTCGCACCCACTCGGCTCTCGGATCGCTCCTGGACCCTGAAAGATTCGAATATCTCCGGGACATCAGGCGCCGGAGCAAGATGTCCTAGCCCGAAGCCAGAGAAAGGGGCACCAACGGGATGTGGCCGCGTCAAGCAGCAGCCAAGAGAAGTGGGACAAAAAAGTGACCTACGACAAAGACGGCGCTTGAGGGAATGAAGCTTTTGGGGGTCAGGGAGATCCTTCGGTCGTGATAGGTTGAATTGGCAGTAGGGTTGGTCCGAAATCTAAGGGCTTATTTGTGGGCACCGAGCCAAAATATGCCAGGCGCGTGTAGGCGTGCAGTCAAATCGACACGCTTGAAAATAGGGTGTGCCGTCTGGACCAAGAGCTTTGTTTGATTCTGGACGAGTTGCAGTTGAAAGGCCAGAAAACAAAAGGAGCAAGAGCGCACCGGCCATCAACAACATTTGAAGGGAAGCCATGACGAAGCCATGACTCACCTGACGAGTAGCAATCCTTCTTATGACATGCCCAAGGCCTGACGTAGTCAGCCGCAATGCCGCTTGAATAGCTACAAATGCGTTAAGCAATTGTCCAGGGGAGGGCGTGGTTCTGACCCCTCTGGGACAGTCCGGGCCGGCCAACAAGTGGGTTTGTCTCCAAATACAATCAGGGAAACCTAAAGTTGGGCGGTTGTCCGTTGTCTTCCCTTGAACCCAACTCCAAAAAGGACACACAGTTCCAACAAACTCCAACCAAGACACCCTTAGAAACACCTGAAAAGAGGCATTCTGGCAAATACGCCCCCTTTGCCAACGGAAATGTAGACTTGTCCAGCCACTTAGACGGCTCCCTTAGATTCACGGATTCATTCCGACCACTTGTGAGATGAAAAAACCAATGGCCCGCTTCGAGTCGCATGGGCCCCGGGAAAGGCTCAGTCCTGGCTCCGGACCAGCATCCCCAGCTCGCGCCTGGAGTGACCGAATCGAAGGGCTCCGGTGGCGTGTGGCCATCGAAACAGATTCCTTTGACCCGATTTGAGGGCTGTGGACATAGAACCACCAAAAGGGGAGAAATATTGGAAAACCAACATGTTTGGACACACACACACACCAGGCAATTTGCAGCTCGGCATTGCCACTACCTTTCCAGAAAGTACTGCCAAGATGCAAAACTTGATCGAAGCCACACTAACCAAGTGTCTGACTGGACTGCACCGCACTGCGCTGGAATGACTAAAACAGCAAGAAAGAAACAAGAAAAACAAAAAAGGACAAGAACGCCATGCATATTAGATGCTTTGCAAGGCTGAGAGTGCAACCGACCAAACGTGTCCCTCATTGGAACAAGAACAGCCCCCGTTCAGCTTACCACTAATGGGTGTTTTGGATTGGTGGTTTGTTCTTGCAGAGGGTAAATGGGAAACCCACCTTAACCACCAAACTACCAATCCAAACCACAACTTAGGTGGAAGCTGACCCGTTGTCTTTGATTTCTTTTTCGGCCGAGAGGCACTTCGTTCTGCAAGGGCTCCGCAGTAGTTTGGCTCCGCAGTTCTGCCACCTGCGTGGCGGCCCGCTGGATGGCCTGGTACAACCTGGCGAGCGGAGGTCTGGCGGCAGGCATGCGGAGGTCTGGCGGCAGAGAAGAAATAACAAATGGACTAAGGAAGGAAGCATGAAAAAGGAATAACGCAATAAGGAAGGAAGGAAGGAAGGAAGGAAGGAAGGAAGGAAGGAAGGAAGGAAGGAAGGCAGGAAGGCAGGAAGGCAGGAAGGCAGGAAGGCAGGAAGGCAGGAAGGCAGGAAGGCAGGAAGGCAGGAAGGCAGGAAGGCAGGAAGGCAGGAAGGCAGGAAGGCAGGAAGGCAGGAAGGCAGGAAGGCAGGAAGGCAGGAAGGCAGGAAGGCAGGAAGGCAGGAAGGCAGGAAGGCAGGAAGGCAGGAAGGGGTTGTAATTGGAAGTCTGGGCATTTAGATACAGCTGAGAAAAAGGTGCCCAAAGGGGTTCAAGTGGATTCAAAGCTTGCCCAGGTCTTATTTGGACAAGTCACTAATGAGAACATGCGTGTTTGTCAATTGACAAGATCCCAATCTTCCCTGTTGAACGTATCATACACCCAACAACTCTGACATCAGATGGTCAATCAAAGCACGATACTGAACATCTCCTACATAGACCTCTAGCGCGTGGACCAATGGCAACGGCTTGGATAAGCGGAGCCGACCAGGTGGAGTCAAAAGACTTGCTGCGCCATTTGCTAGAACATACAAGGACAAGCGTGCGCATGTATGTGTGTGTGTGTGAGGTTTGACATGTTCCAGAGAATCACGGACTGTTGGTGATATAGCAGACATGCACGTGGCTTCGAAATTGTAGCTGCAATGTTGGGCGGGGTTCACATCTCCCCGAAACGGGTACAAGGTCAACTATACCTGGCCCCCAAACGGGGCCATATTAGCAACATCGGCTTTTTGCGAGTTGAGGCCTGGTTTGGACGGCTTTAAAAAGAGACCACCTGAACATGTGTTGAGAATTGTCCAGTCCAGCCTCGCTTGACTTCTCTTGGAAGGAGTCCCTAGTGAATCCCCTCCGGCGTGCGGGAGAATGACTATCCCCAAATTGGGAACCCGCATGTGGCTGACAAGGAGACCAGCCGCAACCCATCCAATTTTAAGCAGGTTCGCATGTATGGAACCAGCTAGAATACTATATGCATTCCATTGGCATCCACAAACACGATATTTGAACAGGGCTTGAAGTTACATACTGGAAAAATGGGAAAACCCTCAGGCGAGGGCCCTTGATCATGGCTGAGATCGTAGTTTTTTCCCCGGGCAAACCTGTGAACGTCAACGTTGGATTGGTCTATAGGATCATACTAGGATTCTTTCCCTATAGTGGAAAAGCAATTACTTTTAGAGGGTTCCTCTTATTAATTAGTATGGTACTCCACTCGGAGGTAAATATTGAAATGTGGGCAGATGAGCTCGGTCAAAATTTCTCGATTCCCAAAGAGGGCATGAGCCATTTAATTAGTGAGTCCCTGGTGTTTGTGGAGCATTTGGCAAGTTCCCCCATGTCCCTCCCTCACAAAAACAAAAAAGTACTGGAATTGTTGAGAGAACCTCAGGTGGAATTTTCATGAGCCGACCTCCCACTAATTCAGCGCCGAGGGGCTTGCCCCCGTCTGTCTCCGCTGCACCCAAGCCCGAGATCTCCTAGAATGGCTTATGCACGCAAAAGGCCCCTGGCAACAAGCGATTCATCTGGGCAAATCGGGTTGAGGTCAGATTTGGTTGATACACTTTCAGCCCAGGCAAGATTCGCCAGACGGCATCTAACAAACAACCCCTTTTTACCAGCTTTCCTTTGAACAACGCCTTCATGTTGCTGCAGCCCCGTCTCCCCCCCTTCTAGCAGTATCCCCGAGGGAGTTGGATCTGGAAGCTCAAAGAACCCTCCTCTCCAGTTCCACGTTTCTGGGCAGGTGACTATACTTGACCAATCTGGAATTACAAATCCATCAGCGAGGAACCTTCATGATGAGGTTGCAAACCCAAACCCTTTTATTGGGGAAGTGGCAACACATGGCACCAAGTGAATCGCTGCCTTGTAGAAAATGGAATCTAATCAGCCCAACCACTTGAGAATCAAATCATTCACGACTCAAGAACGGTCTATGTAGTGATTCAGAGCCATGGTAAGGGTACTTGTTGCAGCTTTAGTCACCATAGTCACCCCTCGGAACCAAGGGCTATCAACTTTGCGGGCCTGTGGTTCTCAGTTTTTGAGTGTTTCGACCAATCGGGGCCCCAAGAAAAGCCTTGGACAAATCCCCAGCAGCACCTCGGAGCCTTCCCCAAGAACCCTGGAACCCAGAGCCGCCCCGGATTGGCGAATTGGAGCCGTGGGGCATAAACCAAATTCTGCCGGGATTGGTGGTTGATCAAGCAGTTTTCATATGGTTTCGTTTTCGGCTGGTGCATCCACCAGCAAGAGCCGCCCTGTGGAACCCTTACCATCGTTGCCTAAATTCCCTAGAAATCAATGACAACTCCCCACCAACCCCAAAAACATATTCAACCAACAAAGCAAAAAAACATAAACGAAACCAAGGTGGCTAATCAAACAAATCGAGCAAAGAAATCAACCCCCAAACTACTACTACTACTACTACTACTACTACTACTACTACTACTACTACTACTACTACTACTACTACTCCTCCTCCTCCTCCTCCTCCTACTCCTCATCATCATCATCATCATCATCATCATCATCAACATCAACCCCAAAAAACAAAGACTCTGAGCCTTTCACTTGCTCCGAGGCACCGCCCAGGGGTGGATCCGGAGCCTGGCCACTGCCAGCTCCCGGCACAGCCACCAGCGCCGGCAGCACCGCACTAGCCAGCCTAACCCAAGGAACCGGCAAGAAGGTGCCCGAATTGGGTGGCGTCTTTTTTTTTGGGGAAAAAAAGGAGTTTCAAGGGACTCCCCCCCAAAACGAAGAAAAAAAAGAAGAAGAAAAAACGAAAAGAAGGGTGGGTTCACCTGTTGTTTCCCTTTAAAGCAACCCAAAAAAGGGTACCGAGCCTCAAAACAGATACAGCCACATGAGGCAGAATCCATTGCAATATTGGGATGAATTTTAATTGGGGACCTTTTGCTGGACATTCATTTAGGTCGGGGTTCATGTCCAACCACTTTTAAACTTTTGAGGTGCTTCCTTATTACAATTCGTAGCCATAGGGAAGGTGTGATTTTATAAGCATATGGCCCTGATAGAAAAGGGAACCATCTCTTTGGGGTTGAGCCGTTTTGTGGGAACCCACCGATCAGGGGAAACAGGGGGCCATCGAAGAACTGGAAAAGGGGGGGTCGTTTCTTGAGGGTACCATTTTCGGTGTTGGTGAAAAAGAAGTCAAGGGAAATCCACGCATTTGATTTGGAGGAAAAATCTCTATGCGCCACGCGTCAACACACATCACTGGGCTCGCATGCATGCAAACAGAATCCAAGATAGCTTTGCCTTCCCGCCATGAACCTGGGCAAATTAGAGAGCACGTAGTATGTTTCTCAATTTGGGGATGGACTGCTGAATAATATGACCAATCCTACGTAGAGGACACTCCCACCTGAGCTCCTGTTGAAATCACACATCTCTGAAGCATAGCTATTGAAGGATGAATCTTAATTTTCTCAGTATGCCATAGTGGAGCAAACACAATAACGTCTGATTACAAGCGTTGATCTTGAAAAACTCAAAGGGGTACCGTTTGCGCCCGAGGGCATGGACACTTGCCAGGACCCCGGCCTGCGCAACGGGATCTATGGGGATCTATGGGGTTTCGGGGATGGCGGCAGTCCATCTCCAAATGGTTTACAGGTCTCTTTCTGTCAGAATTCACGTGTTCCTCTTTCTCCCTTATGAAGAATGCTGCTGTTTATGAAAAGGGGATGAAGAATAAACCAATGAACCCATTCAAACTTATGATCCCGAGTGATGCTGTTTTCGGCGCTCTGAAATCGGCACGACCCTTCGAACAGGTTGATCCCCCACTCTTTTTGCCCATGTTCCTTGTGAGAAACTATGCAATTCATCCGGGCAGTTCGCCCTTGCATGAAAAAGAAAAATGAATGCCGGAGAGGCACAAGAACCAATACTAGGCGTCCTAATTTTATTATGCCAACTAGCAAGAGGGTTAATATAAGGAAACCATGTGGTTGGATAGTACCTCGCAACCCCATTCCATTCATTCAGGCCCTCATACTGTGGATGGACAAAATCCACCAGGCGAAATGGATGAGGACAAACCCCCAGGATTTCGTCCATCGGCACAGCCTGCCAAAGCGGAAATCCCCTCCCCCGCCCCGCGGGCCCAAAGCCGAAAACGCCAAGGCACGCAAAGGCCGGCAAACCTGGCGCAAGAGGAAAGCCGGGTTGGCAACACCTGTTGGACCTCGCATGAAGCCTCCGTCCATTTGGTTTCCTCTGGGCTTCCGGTTGGTCTCATTTTCATGTCGTGGAGATTTGCCTGTGCTTTCGTTTTGAAGCCATCCCAAACTGACCGCTAGTTGTGACACCGCATGGCACACTTCGGAGGCGTCCGGGCCCTTCGGTACGTGGAGCGGCCCTCTTGATTTGTTGATGGAGCCACCCGTGATTTGTTCAGAGTAGCTCATTCATCCCCCGGACAGGACAAGAAAATGGAGCACCAAACCATCTACCTTGAAACAAAAGCCAGCCCCGGCTCCGTCTTGCCTAATGCCGCTTCTAGACTCCACAGACAATTCCTGACACCACAGCATGTGCATGCACCTTGGTGATAGTATCGTTTGCAACTGTGTCCATCTGCCTGAATGTTGGGCCCAGGTTTGACACATACCCAGGTTACATGCGCTTCGGTGAACATAGATAGCACAATGATCGCATCCAGATTGACAACCCAGGTTGAATAAGCTCCTTCCCAAAATACAGGAACTTGTGGCATCTACCTTCACGTCTGTTTCTCATCTCAAGGAGCCCCGCGTTTCAAGGAGCCGGCCTCCATCTCCAGGGCCGTGTCCAGGGACCCGCCCTGGGCCTGCTGCAGCTTCGCCAGGAGGCCTGACACCGTGTTTTTCCTTTTTGATTTTTCCCTTCTTTTCCTTTTTTTCCCAGTTTTTCCTTTTTCCTTTTTCCATTTTTCCATTTTTCCATTTTTCCTGTTTTTTTCCTTTTTCATTTTTCCTTTTTTCCTTTTTTCCTTTTATTTTTAATTTTTGTTCCTTTTTTCATTTGTTCCTTTTTTTTCCTTTCTTTTTCTCGAATTGGAACCAAAGAGGACGAAGCCAAAAGGGATGGCGCAATTCTTAGTTTTTGTTTGGAGCCAAAGAGGCCTAGGTGGCCTTTTGGAAAAAATGGATGGCCCTGGTAAAGGGAAAATCAACCCATCTAAATGAGTGGAACCCATCCATTTAAACCAAAAGTCTAAGGGTACCTTTCCCATTCTTTCCAGGGATCCTTCTTTCTAGAAAACCTCCGGAAACCCAGGGGAAACAGCTGGTTGTTGAAAAGAACGATGGTTGAAAATAATGGGGAATGAATCCCTTGAAAAGAGGTCTGGGTGGCCCTTTGGAAAAATGGATGGCCCTGGTAAATGGAAGGAACCCATCTAAACCAGTGGAACCCATCTAGTTTTTACCAAGCAAACTTAAAAGAACACCTATGCAAAGAGGACGAAACCAAAAGAGATGGCGCAACTCTTAGCTTTTGGTTTGTCGGACGTGTGACCACGACATCTGAACCACTTTCTTGGACAGCACAATTCTGAACCATACCGCCATACCCTATTTACCAAAAGTTGATAGCGGAGGGTGAAAGTTATGGCACAAGTCTGAACCATCTTTGGACAGCGCAATTCTGAACCAGACCCCATGTGCTTTACATCATGTTGGTCACTCGTCATCCCAGGACGTAAAGGGAATGCGCCTTCCACTTTAACCAAGGTGTAAGGGCCTCAGTAAATAAAACGGGATCCAACCACTTAGGAAACGCGCTGTTTGGATTCTGAAATGAATATGACACGTCAGGCTTACTCCTTTTTGCTGGAAAACTGAGGTGCCCTGTGGGAGCCTTCATAGGGAGCCTCCAAGGTTCTAGAGGTCCCGATCTGGAAAGTTGGAGTCCAACCATCCAAACATGTTTAGTCGAGCTCCTTTTGGGTGTCTCTTCAAAGGGGTGCCTGGTTGTCCAAACCAATTCTGCCCAACGTAAAAAAAATGTACGTTTTTCGGTCAGCAGAAGCAAAAAACAATCGACGTGTGGATAGATCGATCCAACGTGTCAGGCCCGAGCTGCTGAGCATGTCGTGGGGCTGGCCGGTGAGAAACATGGTCCCGGTCCAGCCGTGCTCCTTCAGGGCTCTGCGGACCTGGCGCTGGTGTTTCCGGCCCGAACCTATTTTTTGTGGGGCCTCCCACCCTTTTTGCCCTCCCTTTTTGGGACCTGTCGTCCCCGCCACGTACAACCCTTTTTTGGCTCCTTTTCAAGGCCATGGGTAGGAGGAAAGGTCCTCATAGGGGCACAAGAAGAGAAAATGCGGAGAACGGTCGAAAGGCAAACCCTGCCGCCAAATGTACACTTCGGTCCCCGCGATTTGGGCTTGGCCAAGCCCAAGATCCCATGGGTTCACTATGGACATGTTTCTTATCCGACCCAGTGGATCCCAGTTACCCTTATAGTAGGTAACCAACAAATTGTCCTTTGGGTTTTTTAAGGGTGGTTCAGTGCTTCCCCTGGTTACCTACCATACTTGTAAATGGATTAACAGGGCAATAGAAGTGGACTGTCCATAGAAAGGATGGCCAAGAGCGTCCGTGATACTTCGTACTTCGAATCAATCCGGGTCTCTGAGCACGTGCGCGACCTTTGGGGAGTTTGGAGGCCCCAAAACAGAATACTTTGCCAACCCAAAATCACGAAATCCCCATGAACCCAACCTTCACGTACCGAAGTTGCAAGCCATAGTCCAGATGCCCTAATAGCTCCTTCGCTGGGTCCAAAGTGGAAACCTCAAGCCTATCCTCATGGTGACTTTTAAAGGACAACCACCACAAAAGTCAACTTGAGAACTCCTGGGGAACCAGACCAGCTGACACCCCAACAGACCAAAAAAGCCGAGCTGCTGTCCGGGAGAGGTGGGCGGCAGACACCAGATCCTTGTTCACCTGCAAGGCGAAACTGGCGCAGGGTGCTCACTCCCGTAGGAAAACCGGGCATCCAGTCATGAGAAAAATGCGAAAGCTAAGGAAAGCCGCCGGTCCATCGCGGAAAAAGAAGAAGGCAGAGCTGATTCTGTCAAGCGCACAAGCTCCAGTCAAACGTGCAACGCATAGATGTTCAAAGAATCGTAGGTAGGTGTGTGTGTGTGTACATGATATACATATACACGATCACCACGTTGATGTGAATGGTATGCTCCTGCCCCAGCCCTCGCAGAAGCATTGAAAACCAGTGGCATGCAGTATAAGCCACCACCAAGTTACCACGGGATTTCAACTTGAAGCGTGCAACACTGATACCTTTCATGGGCTTGTCTCGAAATCAGGGCTAGGTGGCTTTCCCAACCAAATGTAACCCATTTCAACCCCAGGAAAAAAGGAGGATCCTAAGTTACCTAAGTTGGACAAGTGTCCTGTATCTTCGCCAAGGTAGAGCCCAGCTGCTCAGCCAAATAAAACGAGGGACGCCTCTGAATAGCGGCGAATTCAGGGCGACATAAAGGATCTGAGAAGGGAGACTGCCCTCTGACCTGGGTTGCAACCCATCTTTGGAGGAAAGGCTCAACCCGACCCATCCAGTTGGGTGTGGCTCAAAATTCAAGAGCTAGGGTTACGCAGGTTTTGGTCTTTGGCTCCATGTACCAGGGTTCATTCTCACATTCCCGGCGTTGGGCGCCCACAAGCTCCGCCTCAGGCGTCTGCCCGTGGCCCCTGGGTGAGCGGCCAAAGCGTGGGTTTCCACCCCGGGACCCCGAATGAGAACCAAGGGCCTGCCGTGCTTCGAGCTCAAAGGAACCCTTTTAGGGTTTAGGGTTTGGATTTAGGATTTAGGGCTAACCCCCCGAGCAAAGGAACGAACCTCACAACAAACAGGACCCAAATAAAACTGGGCAAGTGGGTCAATCTCTCCATGTCCCCCAAGCAGCGCTTGTTGAATTGGACAGGCACGCGCAAACTGTAGCCTATGGAGAGGGTCGCTTCCAGGGGCCCCAGTGAGCCAGCGGGCAACAGATCTGATCAGCAGGTCGCCAACATTTGAGGGGGAGCCTCAAATCTCAGCCCCCGGTTTTGCCGAAAAACGACATTTGCGAGAGCGCCACGCATTCCTTCCCTGCAAAGTCCAAGCAACGGCCAGCGTGTTGTGTGGGCAGCGCTCGGGTCAAACAAAGACTGCTTGAGAGGATCCACAAGCAAAGACACTTTCATCATGGGCAAGGAGAACCAAAAAGGCGAGAAGCTCAAAAGGTAAAGCCTGGCAAAGAATCGGGCCGGTCATCGCCATGTTCACATAAGTCATATTTGCTTGAAGGAATCCTTGCCAGATCTCACTGTTTGTTTCAGGTTGGCATGGAGCGACCTGGGAAAGAACAAAGACCATAGTTGGGGGACTTGGCCAGCCATAGGGCTCCCCATATGTCTCCTTCAAACATCACCCTGCATGGGCAACTCAATCCAAATTGGGGGCGATGTCCACAAAAGGAGCGTGCAATCCAGTTGTCCAATGACCCTGATAAAAAAGAAACAGAACTTTTGTGGTGTTGATTCCATGGGTCCGGCCCCAACCAAAAGCGAAGTTTAAGGGTATCCACAGAACAGGAATTTCGCCCCCTGCCAAAAGGCAAAGTTTCAACTCCAAAAAGGGGAAACTGGGGTTGTCTCATGCAAGGAACGCCCCAAAAACGGACCCCTGCCCAAGCCCCCTTGGTCTAAACCACCACACAAACTAGGTCCTCCAGTAGAGAGGTTCCAATAAGGGCACCCCTTTTTCTGTGGTCTATTATAGTAGTGGAACCCTCCCCCAAAAAAGGGGAGAGAAGGGCACTACTGGGGCTAGCAAATACTTCGGTTCCCTTCACGCGACGCTCGACACATCCAAGCGTCAGCTGCCGTAGGAGCTGCTCCGCTCGGCTCACATGCCTGAGGCTCGTGGGGTATGTGGGAAGTGCCTTGCACCATGCCGCTGGAAGCCGAGGTGTCCTTTCGGCAAAGGCGGAGTCTGCAGCCGTTTCCCAACCCCTGCTAGTTGTACAGCACTTGTTTTGTTTTTTGTTCTTACATGGGCCAAGCAGCAGTTGGAGAGTGTTCGTGGCAAATAAAAAATGAAACCGAGCTGAAATGAGGGAAACATCATCTGGTTTCCACCAAACCGACCTGACCCAAGGAAACCCGTGATACCACTGCTTGCTCTTCTGCCGAATCTGTTTTTGGAAGCTTAGCATATGCAACAGAAAAATTACCTTTTAAGGGGGGCCAGGCACGTTTCACTATGGTGTTCGACAACCCTACCACTGGAAGTCATTCCCACCCTTGAGGTGTCTGTGAAAGCGGACCACGATCGCCAAGCTGCTTTTTGTGCGTCCACTTCGCCCTGAAACCATTTGCGGTGTGTGAAAAAATGGGGGGACACCCCAAAGGTGGTGGCTGGGGTGTCCTTTTGGCTTCCCTCTGAACCAACCTGCATGCACCTTCCCCCCCCCGCCACACGGCTCATGACCGAGTTGCTCGAGCTCCAAGGACTTGAGGCTCTCGCCCAGGGCCAAGAGTAGCCAAAAAGTGTAGGAGATGAGAAAGGTCCACACGATGATCACCTGCACAAAGTTCAATTGAGAACAAGACAATGGGATGACCCAAACACATAATATATATGTATATATAAAATCTGAATTTGAGATCGAAAGATTGCTGGGTGGGTAACGCTATGATCACCTTGCATGGCCAGCACATAACATCAACGCTGTTGGTTCCTGGGACGCCTTGGAGAGCGAAGTGAAGAAGGACCCATGTGGAGTTTCCAGATGCCCACAAGAAGTGACATTTGCCTTCGGCTACTTTCTCCTTACACATCTCAGACAGCAACCAGGGGTAAAAAGCCAGGGGTAAGAAAACCTTTGCTTGGAAGGAGGGGGGGCACCAGTTTTTGTGGTGTTTCGTTGCCCGAAAGAGGGGGTGTTTCCACATTGGCCACTAGATTTCTCCAGTGCCATTGTCTGGCGACCGCTGGCGTCCAATGAGACTGCTATTGGAGGTCCCCCAAAAGTGGGGGGGGCATTGCAGAAGTTCTATTTACACCAATTGGACTTGGACAATGAGAAGGATGCCTGGCTGATGCACCATGGATCCTGAGCCCTGGGTAGCCCCGGATAAGTCCCTCGAGTGGGTTGTCGGCAAGAAGTCACAAAACTTTGCCAAGGAGGCTCCTCTTCACTACTTGGGCCGGTCATCCAATAGGTAGGCATGTGTGAACCCATACAGTATGAACCCTTGGTTTGGCGATCGCACGGCCTATGGCCTCAAACAAGGTTCCCTTGGGGGGGTGGCGTTCCATTTACCTGCTAGAAGAAATTCAAGTCCAAATCCACCAATCCAAACCAATAATCAAGGACAACGTCAACCTTTCAGAGAATCATGTCCTTCATAGAAAGGGCAGCATGCTCTGGGACTATTCCGAGGTGGACATTAACCAGCCCAGAAATCCAAACCACAGAAGGCTCGCTTCTGTGGGTTGGCCTAAAAAGAGTCCGAGCCTTTTATATTCCTCTAACATCTAAAATGGTCTTCCCAAAAAGTTTAAAGTCCAGGGTTGGTTAAGGATGGGTTGGTGGTTGGCTTGTTTTGGGGGGTTTGTCCACTGGAAAACAACGGGAACTCTTTTTGGCTAGACCAAACGCAAAAAGCATATGCTGAACAAATAGGCCACTTCTCGGGATCTGAAGGAACTCATGGAGTGACACGAGCCAAAGGATGCGTCTCGTTTTGGAGCTACCCCTTTCTCGGTGGCACAGGTTGAAACCCAGAGGAAAACCGTTGCGCCATGTTCGGGCTCCAACATCAACTGGTGCAAGAACCAGGGATACTCGCCCAACCACCAATCCAAATCACCAACTAAAGGTCTCCTGATAAAACATTCGAACCGGATACCTGACAAAAGGCTCATCTCCTCTGGCCGCTTCCCTCCGTCGCAACCCCACCGGCCATCCAACTCCGAGGCGGTCCGAGGAGCCATGGAGCCCCACAGCTGCGCCAGCAGCTGCCACCCGATTTGGTGCCCCTCCTGGCAGAAGCGCCGCTGCACCTGGCGGCGCAAAATGTTCGCCAAGGACGAGTCGCCGGACGAGACTCTAAGGGTTGATTCCGTGTCCAAGGATTCCATTCCTTGTCCACTGGTTTAGATGGGTTTATTAGGCTTGTTCCATTTACCAGGGCCATCCATTTTTCCAAAAGGACACCTAGGCCTCTGTTCTAGGGGTTCATTCCCCATTCTTTCCAACAATCATTCTTTTCGAAAACCGGATCCGTTTCCCTGGATTTCCCTGGAAGTTTTCTAGAAGGATCCCTGGAAAGAATGGGGATGGTAGCGCTAGAGAGACCATGCAGGTTCCACATGGGTCGTTTTGCGCAGGGAGAAAACAAAGATACGGGTCTGGTGCTGTTGGAGAAGAAAAGGGATCTGAAGAGGTTAAAAAAGGAAGGGACCCAGAGTCGCTCTCAAAAGTTGGGAGCGTTTGAGTTTTATCCTGGAAATATAGGAACCGACTGGGGCGCTCAATACAGGTCCAAGGAAGGCGAACCTAAGCTGAGCTGAAGTTGTCTGCCTTCTCATCACCCGACTTGAAGCTTGGCCCAAAAGGTTTCGTTGAACAAACAACTAAGAGGTAAATATCAAGGACACCCCACCCCAGATGAAGCAACTTAGCTGAGGCATTCCCGTTTGGATTGCCCGGAGGAAACCAAGATCCATCCAGCAGGAAAAGACAAAAGATTGGGAGCAAAGGGCAGGGCATGAAAGAATCTCTTTCAAATATGTCGTTTGTGGACATGACCTAGGCAAAAGGAGTAGCCACTTGACCTTTGTAATTGCCTTGGGACAAACCAGCCGGTCTCGCAAGAAATAAGCAATCATGGTTGAGAGGCGCAGCCAATTGTCATTGGCTTACACCCTCTTTTTCGCTCTGATGTACACATCAACGCCAACCAGAACTGCCGCCACTGTGCAGTACGTCTTATGGGATCTTGAACTTTCCTTGGCTGCAGGGTGTGCCTTATTTTGGCACCCGAGGAAACCGCCCAGCGTGGTTTCAGCATGAGCCAAACCCACACGCCCCCCGTTCCCCCCGGGCGGGCCTCGCTGAAGCCAACCTCTGCAAGGACCTCGCGGCGCTTCTCAAGTTTCACCTATGTGTATCTATATAATCATATATATATATATAGATACAAATAAATATAAAGAGCAAAACATATGGCCATGGGTCAAAATCCCGTACCCCCAGTGAACATCCCAATCCCCACTAAAAGAACTAAAATGGGTGGTGCACCTACCCCAAAACGGTACCATTGGGCTTGACCCACAGCCATGTGCAAACATGACCGTATGTGTAACTGTTCTATCTGCTTCACTTAGAGCCAGCCGGGGCCCGGGCTGCGCAGTCCGGGCGGCAGAACCCCACGGCCAGTACGCCGAAGAGGCCCGAGGCCGCATGCACTGGCACCTGAGAGGAGCGGCCACGCGGACGCGGGGGGGGGGGGGTCGGGGGGGGGGAGGGCGGGGGAGGGCGGGGGAGTGGGGGAAATAGAACCAGCCAACAGCATGTCCGAAAACAAAAGAACAACCTGACAAACGGGCTTGTCTCCACAGGGGGCATGGAAACCTCAAAGTGGCTCTGGACACACCCAAATCCGCCCCACTCAAAAAAAGGAAAGTGGATCCAAAACCAAATGCACTGGCCGCTAGCTAGACATAAGAGAGCTGAATCTATAAGACCTCTGCAAAGATGTGTACCGAAGGCATCCCCGTCTGGTTCGGACAGTCCATTTGACTTCGGCAATCAAATAGGGGCACATCAAGACCCCAAGGCAATGAACCAGCTCTTGGGTTCCAGTAAACTAAACGTAAGAAGAAACAAAGAAAACAAACTCCATGGTCGCCACGGGCAGCAAGCCGAGGAGGTTTGCCTCACTGGGACACCCAGCGGCATCGACGGGATCATCCAGTCCTCGGGGGAGCGTCGTCTGTCTGACCCAGAACGCGTCAGGGGTGCCATGGGACCGCTTCGATTGTGCCGGCCTAAACCTTTAAAAGAAAAAAAGCTGAAAAAAAGAATAACAAAAAAGAGAACGAAAGAAGGAGGTTGCAAAAAGTAGTGACTCTATGTGTCCGCCATACAGGCAAGCAAAGGGGGCAGCATATCCCTACCAGGACTTCAAGATGTTGGCAATTCCGCCAGGCTTCCTCTTCATATAGGTAAGAAATGGACGATCTGTGAAAAATGTACCGCGCGACAAGTTGGCATCTCCCTAGTTTGTTCAACAGAGTGTCAAGGGCCCCCAAGGTGAGCGTCTGTGTGGCCAAGGGCCTCTTCTAACATGACTTGGAACTTGGTGACAGGCGGTCCGGTTGCCCATCCACACAACCCAGAAAATCCGACGGCCAGGAAACTCAACAGTGCAACATGAGGGTGATTCATAGACACATTGCGCCTGTTGTTGCAGTTTGTGGTTCATGGCAGAAAAGGTTTGCGCCTTTTGTCATTGGGCCCAAAAAAAAGAGTTTACTATATGGCGTCCCATTCTCAAAGAAATGAGACGTGAAGGGCACTGACCCTGTTTGGCGCCTCTTGAAATCCAAATTGCCCAGCTTGGCCCCGTGACCGAACATCACATGATTGGTTCTGATTCAGATTTAGTGATCCTTAAAAATCCAAAGGATTCAAAAGAGATCCCAGCAAATTGGAGCTCGTCTCCCTTGTAACAAACGGGGGTAGGAAACCGAAAAGACACCAATCTGACTTTGGGGGTCCCTGAAAAAGGCATGGAATCAATGTGCCAAACTGAGCTGTTTAAATGGGCGCGTCTTTGAGGGTGCTCCGTTTCAAGTGTCGCTTTAAAGGGAAATCAAAGGCAAACCACCCATTTTCGCCGTTCCCATCTGGCCGGATCTGCATAGACGCCCGAAGGAAAAGGGCGCCCTCCCGAGGTCAGACAGTTCTTTTTGTTCGACGACATTGAAGGGATAGCATTCGGAAAAGGTCACCTCTGGTGAAGAGCAACCTTGTGATCAACCCTTTCGCCTTTGTAAAGCGAAACAGCCCGAATAGCAGGATCAAACTGGGTGATTCGCCAAATCTGGCTACCCAGAAACAATACGAAACAACGGGTTGGCTCCCATTCGGCATCCTTTTAAAGGCACCAGGCAACCCCAATCAGGTGCTCAACCGAGCCACGCCCTGGGAGAACGCAACCCTGCTGCCAGGCGGCGCATGCGCCGCATGAGATTCGAGGTGGTGGGGTAGACGATGAGGCCGGCCATGAGGCCGATGATTCTGCGGTCGGACAAAAATGACACAGAGACCTTCATTCACCCAGACCCCCCGTTTTGCCACTCGAGTCTGCAACCAGCCATTTTAGAGTTGGTGTTCAAAGGGTTGTTCCCTTGGTTTCCTATATATACAGGGAAATGGAATCACTGGGCTAGTTGCCCAATGACCCACCGGCAGAAAAAAACAAATAGGGAGCCCTTCTGGGGGGTGACCATTTTTTGGCAGAACCCGCAGGTCACCAGGGAAAAACCTTCGCGTGACTCGCTCAGCCCATGGGAAGAGGCTCCTCCCGGAAACCGGTTTCCGGCAGGGGTTGTTACTCATGGTATGGGAGCCAGGTGGATTGCCCCTGGAACACGCCATAAAACCGATGCCGGAACAAAAAATGACCTCATGGCCGATGACCACCCGGGTTTGTGTCAGTCACCTCATGACAAATCGAACATATGGGTGTGCCTTTTGTGGGGTGCCACCATTTAAACGGGCCAACCTTTAAAGAGACACACCCATGTTCTGTTGCTTAGTTTTACATTCAGCGTGAGACTCCCGCCGGCTGATCTCGCTCACCGGTTTGGCCGAGCCGCATGGATTGCACTGGCGTAGTAATCTGGGCAGAGAGGGCAGGGTGAGGCAGACTGTAGAATGTACATTTGGAACCGCCAGAACTTGTGTGTGTCCAGTTCTGCACAGTGCCGGAATCACCACCGCTCCGAAAAGGAAAAAAAGTGAGTACCGCGTGTGAGCTTGTTTGCCCCCGTAGCGAGCTCGTCATGATGTTTTGTTCACCCATGCTAAGCATTCTTCTAATCTTTGCTTCCACAAATAAAATTGTCTCACTTGCTTTAGTCAACGGCAAGCAAAGTGGCTTCATTTGTCTGGGCCCACAACCCTCTCCTCAAACGAATTGGTGCTCAGCTGGCAAGCATGTGCCTTGGTTCTGTCTCATACGTTTGTGCATCCAAATTGGGGATCTCTCCGTACGCATCTGTGCTTGAAAAGTCTTCAAATTGATGAAGTGATCCAAAAACTATTCCTGATGCCGCAATCGTCAAATACGGTGGTGTGTCAAACCAGGGACCTTTCAAATCGTTGGCTGCCATTGGTGTGGTCTTGCCACAAGGGTCCCCCAGCTTCATACAAACTCAATGTTCGTGGACAAAAAGCGAATCGCGCCCCACAAAATAGTGGTTGCCCCCTCCTGTTTCTCTTTTCAAACACACCCAAAAAGGGGTGCTATTGACCCCATATTAATCAACCACTGTGTATTTATAAGGGGGTGTCCCCCTCCAAAAGTGGTCTGATTTCCCACATTTCACCCAGGGAAAAGCACCCCCCCTTTTCATGAACTGGGGTTGATGAACCTGGGGTCAACATTAGCAACTCCGAAAAAAGGGGACAGAACCCCAAACATGGTGGTCTTCCTGTTGGTTTCCTTCAAAAACCCCACAAAACTGGGCTGCTCTCAGATTTTCTTTAACTTTGAGTGGGTTGAATGGAAACTGCCACTAAGCCCTGAAAGCTTAAAATGCTAAGGGGACGGCTGGGGGCCACCAAGAAAAAGAGGCACCAACTGACCCCCCCTTCGACTCCGCGCTCGGACTCACCGCGGTCCAATTTGGAGACCAAGGGGCATCGCAGCACGCGGTGATGGACACCAGGCCGGACAGGAGACCGTTGCACAAAAAGCCCACGTCCAGGTTCAAGCGGAAGCCTCGTTGGGTTTTCGCGGGGCGGCTTTGAGGGATAGACAGCTAGGTCCTGCAGTAGAAAAGTTAGAATAAGGCTACCAACTTTTTTCTGGATGTCCAGTTTAGTAGGGGAACCCTCCCCAAAAAAGGGGTAAAGGGCCCTACTGGGGCCCCTATTAAAAATCCACTGTGGGGTTTGTCCGTTTTCTGAGCTGCGAAAAGTTTAAAAGTTGGTGAAATTGACACCCCCCCACTGAAGTTCTGAAAACCTACGATTGCATGCGGATGGCGGGGAACCACTAAGAATTTACTGGTGGCTGCACAAGGACATTTACTTCAGGACATGGTTTGGGTGATTTCCTCTGCCGAGAAACAGCAAGATTTACATGTACAGGCATATTAACCCCGAAAAAAGAACTTCCATGAAACAACATATCGACTGATTCAGATATGTTGTGTCTTTCAGAAGATAGGTTTCAGGTTGACAGCTGCATCCAGGCAAAGCTAGAGTTGGTCCAACTAATGGGCAAGACATGGATACAAGTGTGGTTGCTTGTTTGAGCGTCCCTTTAGCTAGGGGCTGGTTTACATAGAAACCTAGGGAAAACCCAATGTGTTGGGGCTTCCCATGTAGAGACAAACTCGGGTATATAAAAATTAAATGCCCCAACTGTGCCAGAATTATCACTACAGCTGGTAATTAACCACAGGGGTTCAGAAGTGCCAGGTATATATATATATATATATGCATTTGGTGAGTCAGGGTGTCAGTGTCCACCTTACATCGATCTGTCCACTCGTTCGGACTCGTTCGTCTCTTCAAACTGGTCCACTCGAAAGTGTTCAACCTGGCAGACTGGCCTGTTTTTTACCATCAAGTCACCCCCAAGAGGTGGAATTCAAAGGAAAACTGACTTGGACCAATTAACCACAAAGTATCCCTCTCAAACATGGTCCCCAATCCCCAATGCCAAGTAGAACACCTGATCCCTGCACGGGTCGCTCAACCCATAGATGAATGCTAGAGAACAAACACCTGACCGCCAATAAATAACAAAGAACGATCTACTTTGCAGCCATCCATATACATGTACTGGACCTCCACCAAACGAGGCAAAAAACAGCTGCCACCAACGCAATCCGGGAGCCCTACCCCTCGCCCATCTCTCACTCTCTCTCCCTCTCTCTCTCTGCTTAGTTGCTGTTGACCCCTCAAAAGAAACCAAAAAATATACCCAAAAGGTAAAGTCTACAGATCAAACTTGCACAGCACTCAATTCTCTCTTGCTCTCTCTCGCGCCCGTCTCTCTCGTCTCAGCTGCCGTAGAGGTAGAGGTAGGCGCCGAAGCCTCCGGCCGCCCCTGCCATGGTGGTGTTCCAAGCCACCAGCCCGGCGGTGTGGTAGCCTCGTCCGTTTCTCATGTCTTTTGGACGCAACAAATCAGTGGCTTCTCTCTTGGCTTCCGGAAAACCAAGGGAGAAACCCCTCAGAAAAGAGAAAACCGCGCCCATTTGAGGACAAGACAAACTCAAAGGGTCCATTGGAGGGACACTCAAACTTATACACAAAATTATGTATATACTTTCTAAATGGTGGGGTAAAGCCGTTACGCCACCGTTGAAAGGGAACTTTTGAGCATGCCACTCCAAAACAATAAAGAGAAAGGGAAAGACCGTGAATCGACAATCCCTCCGAATGTGCACGAAACCAAAGACAGAAACGACAGTGACCAATTTGTGTGTGTTTGTGTTGTCATATAGAGAACCCCCCAAATTTATCTTTGCTTGATTCTTCCACATCACGGCCAAAACGCGCCATACGATGCCATATGAGTATTTACTGGGTGCATCTCCGAATGCGATATGGAACACCCCCTTGCTGGGCAGCGGTGTTGCGTTAAAAACGTTTACCAAAGTTTCGGGACTGCACACAGGGAAACGAAACCAACGGTCGGGCGGGCAGGGAACCCGCTCCCTGGTATGGCTCGATTTATCAAAGGTGGTCAGGAAACAAAACATAGTCCAACCCTTTGTGGCTTTCTTTCAAACTTTAGACCAAGTCGAAACTGGGTTGTTCTCAGATCCCCTTCTAAAAGTTTAACTGAAATCCCCACCAAACTAAGCTCAAACCTAAGGAACTGGATGGCTGGGAATGCAGAAAAGAAAATGGGTCGAGCACCCAAATGCTGAGGGAAACCTTGAGGCTTTGCAGATTGAAAAGGGGCTCAGGCTGTCAGGACCGCTTTGAGTGGCCTTCAGCGAGAACTGGATGCCGAAGACGAACAACATCCCGTGTTGGACAGGGATACAATGGTCGATGATGATGATGATGATGATGACGACGACGATGATGAACCACCACCACCACCACCGCCGCCGCCACCACCACCACCACCACCATCATAAACAGCATCGTCATCATAGTAATCATCATCATAGTAATCATCGTCATCATCGTCATCATCGTCATGATCATCATCATGGTTATGATCATGAGGAGGAGGAGGAGGAGGAGGAGGAGGAAGAGGAGGAGGTGGACCATGGCAACATGATTGGTTGTAGATTAGTTGTGAGAAGATCAGATGCGTGGTTCTCTACATTGGACCAGCATTCGACTTTTGACCAACAGCCAGGTGGTTCATGCAATTGCAGCAATGGGCCTTCGGCTTGAGAAGTCCATCCGAATCGATCCTTCTAGCGGCTGAGTATACACTGCCATGTTGCAGGCCCACAACCTTTGCTTGACAAGCGAGAAGTGGTGTTCTCACATGCCAGGAATTGGCAATTCAAGGTTAACCTGTCTGGGCACGCTTGACTAAGCACGCAAAACACGGAAAGTCTTAAAGGTCAAGAGCTCCACTGTGAATGTGCCCGTATCTCCGGTGATTCCACACTTTCAAGAGCCCCTATAGCACTACGAAACCGCAGGGGAAGAACACGAAAAACACATCCCAGGCAACCAAAAGTATCGAAGCCCCCGCGCCCTTTGGGGCCAGTTCCACCGGCGGGTCTCGGAAACCAAGGCGCTCCCGGCGTGCGAGGTGAGCGCTCCCCCGGTGTTGAAGCCTCAGGACGAACAACAAATTCCACCCGCCAGCTGGGGAAAAATGCCGAGAATGGCCATCCCCTTTTGGCCCTTTTGGCTTCGCTGTAAAGGAGATACTCACATCCTGAAATTGATTCAGCACCCGGCTTTTTGCACACCTTCAAAGCTGGCCATGGATTGGATCTGGATTCCTTTTGCTTTGGCACCTCATTGGAGCCTCGCACACTCTCTACTCTTCCAGGTCACCAACACAACTTTGCTTGGAGCGGTGGGTCAAAAGACCATCAAGTTCGGCTTATGCTTGACTTGATCCAGGGAGCTTGGGTCCAAAAAAATGGGGGGTCATTTGTTTGGTGCTAGCAAACAGCAAGCAACTCCTGCGAGGCTGGGCTCGTTTTGAGAAACATCCATTCAGGGAATCCAATGGGTGTCAAGTTCAAACCTCCAAATGGAGAAAATGCTTTGGGTTTGACGTACGTGCACCATGGTTGATTTTCCTACAGTTGGAACTGGGCTGCGCTGGGTGATAAACCTCTCTCTGAAACCCTCGCAAGACAACCCTTCAAAACTCCAACTTAACCTCCATACCGTGCCATCACACGACGAGAATGGAAACGCCATCCATGACAGCAACGATTCGTTCAATCTGTCACGTTCGCAGCTCTCAACCCTCACCCCCCGGCCCCCAACCCCGCCCCTCGTCCCCTCACTCTGGCGCAATCGAGCAGCCATACCAGCCGACCCAAAGGATGAACATCCCCATGACCTGCAGACTGCCAGGCGCATTCGCTCCATTGAGTCGTCCCGTCCCATTTCTGCTACAACCAAACTGCTCCCACCCCACAACACCCAAACACAGGGTGGGAGGTGGTGTTTGGGGAATCGCTTTCAAAAAGAGGGGGCTGAGCTGGCAAGAAACAGTCTTAGTGAGTGTTCAAAAGTGCAACCCTAACTCTCCCACCAACAAGAATGGCTTGCTGCACAAATCCCTTTTGGAAAACTGCTGGCCTCGTGTCCTCCAAGAGGGGAGGAGTCTGTGCAGTTCCGGTTTGGTGGATCACATGGCTGATGTTCTCTCAGCCAAACTTGTGCTAAATCCGGAACCTTGGAATGGGCCACTTCTCACAACAGGTGGCTTTGCATAGCCAGAAAGTTGGTTGAGACACACGGTTGAAGGACCAGGAAGCTAGGCCAAAGAGCTGAAGGACCAGGAAGCCAGGGACAAAACCAAGCTTCTACCCTTTGCTCTTATTCTTAAGGTGCGGCAAATGCAAACAGGACGCACAATGTGGACCCCTCCCCCCCCCACCCCCTGACACCTTTGAGAGAGCAATTCATCAGTGTCCACACTCGGAAGGAGCTCCCAGTGACGCACACTCATTCCCTGAGAATGGCAAGGCCTTAAGGTTTCTGCTACTGTAGCAACATGGAACCCCAAACAGTGCCCCCTGTTATTGTTTTGTGGGGTCATGTTGATGTTGAGGAGAGCGAGTGGCCCTCTGTTCGGTTTGCATTGTCAGCGGCGATCGAAATCCCACTTTCGTGAGACGCAAGATCGCCGCTCTGGGCGGTCAGCGTGGCCATCTTCCGCGGTAATGGTCTGGGCTGCTCTGTGCCGCGTGCACAAGCTGTCGTGGTTGCTTTCTGGTTTGTGGGGAAACGGTCATGTACAAAGGTAAAAAGGGTACCTCGGTTAAACCAAAGAGAGGCCACGTGTTCAGCCCAATGAGATGCCAAACGCAGGCATTCACCAGGAGCCTTGTGCGAGCCCCTTCCGTACATGGAGCTTGTGGGAAGTTGTGAAACATCGGGATCGTGTTTCGGACCCTTGTTACATCATGTACCGCATTTCAAGGGGGTGGCACCAAAAAAGAGTTTAGCAGATGGGCACGAGAAGATAGAGAGGGAAAATATCAAAAGATCCACCGAAAAAGATCAAAACATCCACCCTTTACCTCTTCTCACCTATCACCTGCCACAGATTAAGAGATTGATCCAAAAAATTGGCCCAGCCAAACGTGTGGGCGCATGTCATTTCATTGGACGCTGGCCCCGAAGTCTGCTGTACTTCCAAAGCCCCGTAGCTGCAAAAGGGGAGCTCCAAGCCAAACCGAACAACATGATGAACAAACGCCTCATCTTGGGTAAGATTGCCTCTTGAGACGCGCTGCTCACCCTCCGCAAACGAGGCAGAGTTCATCCCCGAGGTCCTTACGGTGAGTTCCGGGACGCGTGCCCTTGTAAGGGGTGCAGTGGCATGAAACCACGATCCAAGCGAATCATTGTGACAACAACCGCTCCCCTGCAAACACAAACCAACCAACAAACAAACAAACAAACAAATAAACAAACAAACAAACAAACAAACAAACAAAAACACACAACCCAAACCACACCAAACCAAACCAAACCAAACAAACAAAATCAACCAACTAACCAACCAACCAACCAACCAACCAACCAAACAAACAAACAAACCAAACAAAGAAGCAAAAAAGAAACAGCGAAACAAACAAACAAACAAACAAACAAACAAACAAACAAACAAACAGCCAACCAACCAACCAACCAACCAAACAAACAACCAACCAACCAAACAAACAAACAAACAAACAAGCAAGCAAGCAAACAACGAAAGAAACAAACATATATATATATATATGTACAAACACTCTCTCAATCTCCCCAATCTCTTTAGGCCGGATCCACAAGCGCCTGCAAATAGTTGCAGGGCTGGAACTCTGCATTGTCTCGCTCCGCATTGTCGAAGCGCCGCTGCCACCGGCCCTCGGAAGTAAAGACTTTGGGCCTAGCAGAAACTAGCAGTACTGTCTGTTTTTTCACGTACCCCTCTTAAACCAGGAACAGGAACTGTGTGTTCATGTTTGAACAACTGTGTTCAAATGAGCATCACAATATGCAGCTCTTGCAATGGACATGCGAGTCCTGGCTTTCGTGGGAAACTCAGTGAGTCCCCCATGTCCCGAACCTCAAATTGACCATAGACTACTGAGCATCTTGACAAAAAGAAAAATCACATCCTCATGTGTCTTTCTTAAGCGTACTCTTCTTCTGGTCGTCTTCAAGGGCCAGGGGAAGTTCCTGAACTGCGCCTTCCCCCCTCTAGATTTCTCTTCAAAGAGCATGGATGTGTTCTCCCTCACGCCCAGGCGCGTTCGGAAGCGACGAGCAGGGGGAGACGTATGTCTCTGGCCTGCCCGGGGCACATCCCACATGATGTTGGTCCCAGTTTCCTACCTAGGGGTCCCAAATTTGCAGGGTTCAGTGGCCTGGAAGGTCTGAAAGGTGCTGCTCAAACGACGCATATGCACGCCGATCCAATGCCACCGGAGTCAAGCTGAGAACGTGCTTGGATCTACTTGAAGATTGATAATGTCATTGGTTTCCTCTTAGGCATCCCTAGAGAGCTGTTGGGCGTGGCTGATAGTCGCGCTGGTGCCGCGAATCACGACTCTATCAATTCAATCCTGACTCATCGACATGCATTAAAAAGGACAAGTGCCCCCAACAAGTGAAGAACCTCCTCTAAGATGGAATGCACCCCCCGCACTTGTCAAGCGGGGGGATCAATACCTAGAGATTCGTTGCGGCAGAAATTTCTGCCGCAATTCAAAAAAGGCGCCTTTTTGGATTTGCGGCATTTCTTCCTGATTTGCGGCGCTTTTTTAGAATTGCGGCAGAACTTGTTTTCAGTTTTTGTACCCCCCCGATTTGCGGCGGAAATCGGCGGGAATGCGGCGGAAATCGGCGGGAATGCGGCGGAAATTCCCGGAAAGCAAACAGTGTTGCGGCGTTTTTGTTTTGGTTGCGGCGTTTTTCTTTGTTTGCGGCTGATTTTCTGGAATGCGGCGGGAATTTCCGCCGCAATGCGTTGCGGCAGAAATTTCCGCCGCAGGAAGTTCTAGGTATCAAAGGCCATGTTCCCGAACAAAGATCGGACTCTCACACCCATAGCTGACTGACTCCGCAAAGCCACCCGTTTGCGTCGTTGGTTTCTCGGCAAATGGCCATCCCTTTGAATCATCTTCGAAGCTCAGCCTTGATGTCTGGAGCTGTCAAAGTGGAGATCAAACTCAGCTTGCTTTGGGTGGTTTTGCTATGCGACTCTCATGTTGGGGCCTTGTTTTTAAAAGCCAAGGGATTCATCGGGGACTCCCATCACGCGAATCAAGAAATCAATCAGACCGCTGCAACAAAGAATGGAGCTAAAGGGCGCTGGAGACCTGTTGCCCGTCGCCCGTTGCCCGCCCGCCTGTCTCTCTCAAGGTCCACCTCCTCCTCCTCGAGATTTTGGTGGAAAACCGGCAGCTGTCAATTTCTATCGCACCAATGGACATTTCCAACGGAGGAACGTTGCGCCGCACAATTGTTGCCAACCAACCTGCTGTGTTCCACAGAAATTGCTTGGTAAACTTCACGGAATAATTTCAGTATGGGCAGGTTGTTGTCAATCAATATCGCGCCACATGTTACGCGACAATTAGCACACCCATCACTCCTACTAATGGAAACTCAATGGACAGTCGCCCAGATGGTGAACTGGCGGAAAAAACAACTAGAGGACGATTGGCCCGAAAGCATTTTTCCACAGGTGCTCACCCAGCCGCATACACCTTTTTACATCGCTGCGGCGAGCGTGTCTGCACGCGGCGATGCTCAGTGTGTATGGTCACATGAGAGCTCCATCTCATCATCCTACTTTCCTCTCGAACTGCGCCGCGCGATTTCTCACGAAAGCGGTCTGCGCAAGCTGCATTGTGCCAGGCTGCTGCGCGCAAGTTGCTCTCTGCAAGCTGCTGCGCGCAAGTGCTCTGTGCAAGTTGCTCTGCGCAAGTGCTCTGAGCAAGTTGCTCTGCGCAAGTGCTCTGCGCCAGTTGCTCCGCGCAAGCGCTTTGCGCATGTGCTCTGCGCAAGTTGCTCTGTGCAAGTTGCTCTGCGCAAGTGAATCTGCGCAAGTTGCTCTGCGCAAGTGCTGCCGGAGCTGCGGGGGTGTGCTCCGCGTACTACGTTTGTACTTAAAAGTTGCGATTTTCCAGCCGGAGCTGCGGGGGTGTGCTCCGGGTACTACGTTTGTACTTAAAAGTTGCGATTTTCCAGCCTGAGCTGCGGGAGCACGCTCCGCATACTACGTCTGTACTTAAAAATTGCGATTTTCCACCCGGAGCTGCAGGAGCACGCTCCGCGTACTACGTTTGTACTCAAAAGTTGCGATTTTCAAGCCGGAGCTGCGGGGGTGTGCTCCGCGTACTACGTTTGTATTGAAAAGTTGCGATTTTCCAGCCTGAGCTGCGGGAGCACGCTCCGCACACTACCTCTGTACTTTAAAGTCACGATTTTGCAGCCGGAGCTGCAGGAGCACGCTCCGCGTACTACGTTTGTACTTAAAAGCTGCGATTTTCAAGCCGGAGCTGCCGCGGACCAGGGGGGAATCGAACCCGCGACCGCGGCATTGCGAAAGCAGGCGCGCAAACCACGAGACAACTTCCAAAGGCCGTTTTGCGAGCAAGAAAACTGCACGGCGCCACAGCGAGAGCGCTTCGACACGCACAATCTCCGCAGAGGGTTCGCCGAGACTAAGACAAATTCGCACGGCGCCACAGCGAGAGCGCTTCGACGCGCACGATCCCCGCAGAGGGTCGCGCGCGCGCACCGCAGAAATCGTAAAAAGTCCACAGTTTTTTGCGCGCGCACCGCAGAAATCGTAAAAAGTCCCCAGTTTTTGAACCTCGACCACGCGAATCTCCGCAGAGGGTCGCGCGCGGCCAGCAGATCGTAAAAAGTCTGTAGTTTTTGAACCTCGACCACGCGAAGGGCCGCGCGCGCGCCGCAGAAATCGTAAAAACTCCTCAGTTTTTGAACCTCGACCACGCGAATCTCCGCAGCGGGTCGCGCGCGGCCAGCAGAAATCGTAAAAAGTCCTCAGTTTTTGAACCTCGACCACGCGAATCTCCGCAGAGGGTCGCGCGCGGCCAGCAGAAATCGTAAACAGTCCTCAGTTTTTGAACCTCGACCACGCGAATCTCCGCAGAGGGTCGTGCGCGCACCGCAGAAATCGTAAAAAGTCCTCAGTTTTTGAACCTCGACCACGCGAATCTCCGCAGAGGGTCGTGCGCGCACCGCAGAAATCGTAAAAACTCCTCAGTTTTTGAACCTCGACCACGCGAATCTCCGCAGAGGGTCGCAATCCCGAGCGACGATCAAACTCCCGCCCCGGCGCCTTAGAAACCTAAACTAACTTACATAGCTGCTAACGCCGAAGCTCTAAGCTCTACCTAACCTTGGCTCTATGTAACTTGGCTCTATGTAACTTGGCTCTATGTAACTTGGCTCTATGTAACTTGGCTCTATGTAACTTGGCTCTATGTAACTTGGCTCTATGTAACTTGGCTCTATGTAACTTGGCTCTATGTAACTTGGCTCTATGTAACTTGGCTCTATGTAACTTGGCTCTATGTAACTTGGCTCTATGTAACTTGGCTCTATGTAACTTGGCTCTATGTAACTTGGCTCTATGTAACTTGGCTCTATGTAACTTGGCTCTATGTAACTTGGCTCTATGTAACTTGGCTCTATGTAACTTGGCTCTATGTAACTTGGCTCTATGTAACTTGGCTCTATGTAACTTGGCTCTATGTAACTTGGCTCTATGTAACTTGGCTCTATGTAACTTGGCTCTATGTAACTTGGCTCTATGTAACTTGGCTCTATGTAACTTGGCTCTATGTAACTTGGCTCTATGTAACTTGGCTCTATGTAACTTGGCTCTATGTAACTTGGCTCTATGTAACTTGGCTCTATGTAACTTGGCTCTATGTAACTTGGCTCTATGTAACTTGGCTCTATGTAACTTGGCTCTATGTAACTTGGCTCTATGTAACTTGGCTCTATGTAACTTGGCTCTATGTAACTTGGCTCTATTGGCTCTATGTAACTTGGCTCTATGTAACTTGGCTCTATGTAACTTGGCTCTGTGTAACTTGGCTCTATGTAACTTGGCTCTATGTAACTTGGCTCTATGTAACTTATCCAAGGGCTCCGCACGGAAGAACCCTTCGCGATGCTTTCGGGGAAAAAACATGTGCTCTCCACAACGAGTCTCTAATTTTTGGACCCCCCCAAAAAAAAGAAAGAAGACCAGAAAGATCAGGGACGCTGTCTGACAAGCTGAAGGGAAGGCCAGCAAATATTGCGGAATGTTTGGGCGCCTCAAGCTGTGAACTGCGAAAGAGATCGCTCGCCTGGCCCAAGGCGCAAGCAAAAAGCAAGACTGGGCTTGCCTCGAATTGGTGGAGCGTGGTTTGGAGGTGCTCAGGAAGCCCCTCAACAGAAGCAGGCGAGCAGCGCAGGGACACCTCGTTGGACCTCTGCTGTGACTTTCACCTACAGCGTGGTGTGCTTCCGAGCAAGCCAAAAGGGCAAGGCAACATGGCTGGATGCTTGCCCTCTGCTGGTTTCATCCAACTGACCTCCTGTGTAGCTCCTTGGCCAAAGGCTTGTCAGTCTCCAGGAGTTCATAGGTGAAAGGTCCAACCATTGAGCTACCAAGTCTGGGCGCATTTGTAAGATCATACTGCGGCGCATGACACAAACAGGCAGCATGTTCTTCATATCCCTCGCACGAGGGTATAGGCATGCAGTGATCAGCTCAAATCCCCTTGACGTTTGGTCCCACTAAAACGGCTATACAAGTTTGTACAGACCCCCGAATAGGGATCCCTTTAAGCTAAAGTTGGACCGGGGAAAGACGAACCAGTGGCTTCGCGTCCGCCTTTGTGGGAAACTGCGCTTGGTTTCGCGTGCGGCAAGTCGAGACCACGGGGAAGGGGAACCTGTGGATGGACAAATCCGTTCGCAACACTTTGAAACCATGGCGGAAACCATGGTTTCTTGGATTTTACCGGGAAAATCATCCTTCCAGGGTTTCTGAGTCCATCCACAGAATGGGCTTGAACTCATATTTCATTCATGAATCACCATGGGACATGGCCATGGTTCCCTTCCTCCTCGGCAAGCCGTGTTCCCTGTTTGAGGGTTGACCCTGAGCAAGCGAAGGTTGTGACGAATGGGGAGACTGGTCTTCGGTTTTTACTTTTTAGTCTTTGGCCAGGTCACCATGTCCTTGAAACAAACAGAAGTCCCATACCTGAAGCAGACTGACAAAGCCCCGTCCTGCGAGCGCCCGAAGGGGGACACCTTCATGTCAGGCCTCGGTCAGCGGCAAAATCCCATAGCCAGCCACTATAGCAGGTCACCAGGATGTTTTTTTCTCATGTCGAGAATTTTACATTATGGTTCTTCCTGCTTACCTACTATTTGGGGTACAGGGATCCATAGGGGTAAAGGCATGGAATCTTTAAATGGGCTTTATCCCTCCCCCAAAACAGGTATCATGAAAAACACCAGAACTGCCAAAGAGAAACACCCAACTGAATGGGGCGATCCACATGAGTTGTTCGTATGGAAGATACCAACCAGAACACAAGGAAAGGTCGCCGACAACAGCAGACCTTCCCCGCAAATCTTGCCCAAAGGGCATGCTTCCTCAAGAATAACGACATGCCGAGGGCTCTAAGGGGGAGACACCCAAATGATGTTTCGGCAGTATCCAGAGACAGGGGTCTCAGGCTTCTGATTGCTGTAAGGTGCAAATTAACATGTTGAACAACCAAAGGGCGAAAGCACAAAACATTCAACAACCTGGGGTATGTAACTTGTCATTAGTGATAAGGGTGCGGGCTGACTGGACTTCACGAATGGTGATCATTGCTGCGTTCGCAGTTCGGTGCAGGAGAGGCGCCCTTGCGACCAACAGATCTTTGGCTCCTGCTTCGAGAATTCTTCACATCATCACATGACTTCTGGCTGCGCCGGGCACTGTGGCTTGCCCTTGGCTCCTTTCAGGCACCCGAGGGAGATTCCACCACGGTTCTGCGTGGGCTTCCACGTGAATCTGAAAAGGGGGTCGCAACCTCAGCTGGTTGGTACAAAAATGTTCGATTCTGGTCCATGTTTAGTGAACTTTGCCACAAGAGGTGGTCTGAGGAGGGCCCTTCGGAATACAACCGGTGCTTTTTGAGCTCCTCCTGTTGATATCGGAGGCCCTACTTGCCCCAAGCGGACATGCCCCCAGCTTTAGGCGTTGCAGCCAAACAAGTGTGGCTTCAGAACTAAAAAAACGGGGACTTTCGCCGATCTGCGGGATTAAGCAACTTAGAAGCCCCGTGGCCACTGAAAGCTATGGGGTCTCTGCCAGATAAGCTCTGGAGTGGTCTGGAGGAAAGTTCGGGGGGTCCCAGAAAAGGTTGCTGGGTAGGGTTTATTCCGAGGTTCCGCAAGGGTTCCTGTTTCTCTTCGGGATGCCACGACTCGAAAGGGAAACCCTTCCAAACAGAGGCAAACCGGAAGCAAGCCGGGTAAAAGGGCCTCCCAATTGCTCCGAGCGGCTCTTCTGGGCGCATGATACGCCGCCCCAGCAAAGAGTTCCCAGCCAGTGCTGCCACCCCACCTTCGCAAATGGGGCCACTCAGGTGGTTTGCTATGGGAATTGGAGTCCTACAAATAGGAAGACTAGGGATGTCAAACACCCTCCCCCCACCCCTACAAGTCCCTGAGTTCTACGAGAATTGCACCATTGCCCAGGGTGAAAGTAGATAGCACTATTTCCACAGGGTGTGTCTTTTTTGAGAGACCCTTCTTGGAGTCTTGGAGTGGTGTTAAAGGGAACCCAAAGCGAAAACCAACACGTTTGCGGCGCCATACTTTAAGACACACTCCTTTGGGGGGGTGTCATCTCATTTGGGGGTGTGTCCTCTCCTTTGCTCGCCCCCAAAGAAATTCAAGCTAAAGGGACCCAAAGATAAGAAGCCAACATGGTTCACCCATTTGAGGGTTGTCATCCCCACCCCCAAGGAAATCGCGCCATCTATTGTCACTCTGGTGAAAGTGCAACCAAGCATTAGTCCGCGTTTCTCTTGTAAACATCATGCCGCCTCCAAAAAAACATGTGAGAATTATACAATAATCTGCAGAATCTACCAGAAAAAATAATAATCAACCCATGAAAGATGGACTCCCCTTGTACAGCACCTGCATCATGGTAAGCTCGTTTAACCCCACATAACCCCACGTGAGCGCGCCACGTAGAAAGATTCACCAGCCAAGAAATTGGCTTCTTGAGACTCCTACCATATTGCAAGTAAAACCAACCACAAACTCTGGACATCCAAACCCGGGTGTCCCTCGCTCCCTACTTGCAATATTCAGCGCATCAATGCGTCAATCCCCCGTCTTAACAAACCTTGATTCCATTTTCCATTCGCGTAAGGCCTGCTCCATTAGTGATTTTCTTGCATATGTGCCTTGGTGGCGGTGCGTAAACGTGGAGATGGCATGTCACTGGAAAAGATGTGCCATATACTTCAACCGTGCAAAAAGCAGTCCAGTTTGAGGGAAGGCAGACCTCCCAACCAAAAAAGAGGCCCGAAAGCTGCACTTTCTCACAGCCAAAGCAAAGTTGTGCATCCTGCAACACGACAGGTCTATCGTGGCTTCCTGTGGTCAGGAAACCAAGGCTCCAATGAAGAAGTATGGACAAATGGCGACTTGCCACATATCGTACATTCTCATGCAAAAGGGGTCAACCTTCCGAACAGACGTTCGACCCCTTTCAGCATCCACCCTCTGCAAATGAAAGCCGGACATGATTCTCCATCCCACCGTAAAGCCCTGCATCAGAACCAAACAGTCCAAATGTGAGGTACCAGAGAAGTTCCGAGTCTGTCTGTTCATATCGTGCTGGTCAATGGGAGCGCGAGCTTTGCTCAACTTGGCTCCGGGCCCCAAAAGTGGGTCGGATTTCATGTCAAAAGCACAGCAGACCTGGGCCTCAAGCGGATATGTCGAGCTGACGTGCCACAAAGAACTTTTAACTTTCTCTTGACTAAGATGACATTTATGAAGAAAGCATACCAAGGTGAGTCAAACATTACAACATGCCCCGAACGCGGAGTGCGCCTAGCAAATGCACCACTCCGCTACCAGCGCAATCATGGAACTTCACATCCTGACGCCAAAGCTGGAGCCATTCAAAACATGGAAGGATTGGAGGACGAATGCCTAGCCGCAACCAAGGATAGCAACCACCTTGTTGGGCCAGAAGCTCTCAAACTTCTTGGCCTCAAGATGAAGGGTGAAATCTGGCCCGTGAATCTTTGAGGTTCACCAACTCAGAGAAGGACAAAGCTAACCGTGACCCAATTGAGCAAAAGGTGCGCTGGCCTCGATTCCTACCATCGGAGAAAGACTGTATTCGCCCCCAACTTTTGGATGTCCGCCCCACCCAAAGAGAAGCCGGGGGTTCACTTTCGCCCCTGGCTTCTGGCTGACTGCTGCCCCCACAGTGCAAGCACCTCAAGGAATTTGAACCCTTGTCAGGGCTTTGCCAGGGATGCGTTTCGGAGGCAGAGGTTGTCTACCACTTAAGTGGTATGTACTGCGTTGGCTCAGATAGCTCATATTGATGGTACCTCCAAAACCTGTACCGGGAAATGCCAGCTTGAGCCAGTGAAGTCACTACCTTATTTGGAATTGCACCTGAATCACCCTATGTCTGGAACAAGTTATGAAGGATAAAACTTGCTTTGACTTGCAGGACGATTCATAGAAACATCTTCTTTAGCCGCCAGGTGTCAGCATGCTACAATGTTGCACCCTCAAAGAAGTGTGCGGGCGCAGCGAAATGTTGAAGTAAGCCTTGTTGGAAGTATTCGCCCGCCGGGTAACATGCTTCGAGCCTCCCCCCACCAAAACAAAAAAACGACAACAAAAAGTATCCCCAACAGCAACGCAAGCAACCCTTCCAGACCCAAACCCAAACCCGCTCCAAATTACTCTTGCAGCCCATCAGGGCAAAGACCCCAAAGCTTTCAGCTGTTGGAGTCCCAAGACGAAGCGCTTGGCAAGTTGATGCCTTTGCTCATCGGTGACTTGAGGATGCGTATGGATACGCAGAAGGCCCTTGACGTTTTCACCATTTCTCTCGGTATCAGTAGCTAGTTCTGGTGTTTGGGTGGGGGATCAACAGGATCACAGCCAATTACAAAGAGTATTAGGTGCAGCTTCCATGTCAGCCTCTCTGTCGGAGGGGCCATACAAAACGTGCGGGCTGTCCTGGGATTGGGGCTCCCTTTTGGGGCGTTTAAAGATGGAAAAACCACGCGGGAGGCACATATTTTGGGGGATCTCCATGGGTCTCCTAAACGGACCCCTTTCCCGTTCTCCTGCATGGCGAACGCGAGGAAGCGCCGCATGAAGCCTGGCGCGTGCTTCCCAGGAGATCGACAACTATTCACTTTCTGGCCGTGTTACCCTGTCGGCGCTCTTGCAATCTGGGCATTGCCCAACCGTGGGCGTCTCCAATTCCGAGTTTGACCAGGTTCCGTTTCCTAAGTTTGCAGGTTTAGCGGGACAAGACAAGTGTAGCTGCCAACCCCTCTTAGAGCCCACTTGCTCTGGCCGTGACATGTCCGCGTGAGTCGCGATGCGCAAGGATACAGGTGCGATTCCTGCCAGCAGCAAAATTGTTCTTGACAACACACCGCCCGAAAAAGGCGCAAAAGTGCACACGGTTTGGCTGGCCAAAAAAAAAGTTGGTCTCGTGGCCAATGTGTTTGTTGGCGCGTTGGGGCCATTCCTGGGGCCTTGCGGCTCACAGGGCTGACAAGCATGATCGCATTTTGTTTAATCGGTTTCATCTCGAGGCATTTGATGCATGGCACATTCGAGCCGGGCGAGGGCCGGCACTATGTGCAGCATGGCACCGGGGCCGGCACTTCAGCCGCAGAAAGCTCTTGCTAAAGAGCTGAAGCTTGACTTGGCAAAGCTCGATGTGACGTGCGCACAATTGACACTCGATGCGGTGACTCGATGTTGATTGGCTCTCTCTGTACCACCGGTGTACCCATTGAGTGGCCCTGGGACGCTTTGCCGTTACCTGTACGAAAGACGTTTGCTGGAGCCATTGCTTTGCTGTACTCGGCGTTTTACCTTTCGTTGATGTCTTGACTTGGTTGGTTGCGCTTCTTGTCTTTTTCGTCTTCTCTTTGCCTTTATATATATCCACATACATATATATATATATATGCTATGCAAAATATGCACAATTGCACATGTACGTATTTTAGACTCCCGAGGCAGAGAGCTCAATATTGAGTGAACGCATCGAGTGCCACGTATGCATGTCACATCGAGCATAGTGAAGCTGGCTTCCCTTCACACGCTTGAACAGGGGAAACTGAGAAGCAACAGTGATTCAGGGAGGGGACCAAATAGAGGTTGTATCATGGCAGGTACGCTGGGATAATCAGTCCCAGTATCACTATCACTGGCAAGTGTCTTCGTTGGCAGCGGCTCCTGCCCCCTGCAGCAAGTAACTGGTTCCAGGGTGAAACTGGAATTCCCGTAGGAGCAGGGCCCCAGAAGAGCAAGAAGCCACAAAGGAAGGGCCGAGAAGACAAGGAAGACGAAGACGGAGAGGACATGCTCTGCGACCAAGAAGAACACCAGGAGGAGTGAGACAAAACGACGAAGAAGACAAAAAGAGATGAACAGCGGGAGGAAGAAGAAGCCATCCCGCAAAGCGGCTGGCAGAAGGACCAAGAACAAGCGGACGGCGAACAAGCGGACGGCGAACTGTCTTAGCATTCGAATGTGTAACTTGTTTAAAGTCCAATTAAGCACCTGCATGCTTGTGGCTACCTATCGCGGGGATTGGTCAAAGGCAAAACCAAAAGGAAACCCAAGATGTAGGCGGGTCTCATCTTGAGCTTACTTGTCTCCATGTTCACGGGTTCACTATCAACTCGCAACAAGCAACCTCGTGGCACGAGGAGACCCAAGATCACCATGTTGCCAGGCTGTCTTTGGGCAACACGGTTGTGGGGGCTGATCAACAACCCCAAGATCACTGAGTGTGTTGGTCATACAGCACGCACTTGCCCCAATGCCACACAAAATGTTTGGAAGTGCAACTCCCGAAGCAAAACAAAGCAACGACGCTGCGAAACCGGCAGTTGTTTTTCCGAGAACCACTTGCAACTGGCGTCTTCGGAGGTAGAACGCGAAGGGTTTTGAAGACCACCAGGCTTGGCAACTTAAAAGGACCTGTGAACTTCCATGAGTGTGAAAAGTTTCAAAGGGCAGTAGCTTGGAAAGTGTCTAGTTTTATGAGTTGGTCATTTGGCGGTTTGGGGTTGTGTGGTTTCCTTGTTTCACCGTTTGGCATTTTCATGCATTTTCTCTGCTTGGGGAATTTGGTGTCTTGGCCGCGTGAATGGCCTGCTGGCATGACGTTGGATGCATAGAGATTTCACAAATGTACTGAGCTGAGCATCTGCGGGCATTCAGTCGTCTTACTCCTGTGCGCTCGTCAAACTCCGTCCACCAGGTGATGATGACTCTTGCTTTACCAGGTTGTCCAAGAATCTGGCACAAAGCTGCAAGCCTGGAAATGAACAAAGGCATCCAACATATCCACCCCCTTTCGCGCGGAAACTTGTCCCCACTGGAAGCCGACTGCGCCACACTTCGGGCTTCGGGCTGGCGTTTCGGGGCCCAGGCCTCCAGAGCCCCACACGGCTTCTGCGATGGGGGGAAAAATGAGGCCGGCAATCAGCCCCGCATGGGTGAGATAACCTGCGAGGCATCGAAGGCGCCGGCACTTCCGGAAAAAGCCAAGGAACTGGCTTCGGAGAAGCCCAAAGGGACCACTTGCGAGACGTAGGTGTGGCTCAAAATCGAAGAGATAGGTTAGGCAGGATTTAGTTTTTGGCTCCATTTACCAAGGTGAGCCACAGCCACCTATCAAACAAGGACTGGATTGGCAAAGGCGTCAAGCGCGAGGGCACCTAGACTGCACTGGGGCATTTCTCAAAGCGGAGAGACGCTTTTGATAGTTTTTCAGAGAACACCCATTGGGACGGGGTCCCCAAAAATGGCACAAACCCAGTTGACAGAAAGTCGTCCTTTCACAGAAACGATGCCTGCATGTTCAGTCTGCCTTTGTTAGAATCATACGCATCGAGTTAAACCCCCTTTGGTCAGCAAATCGGGCTATGTACGTCAAAATAAGGTGGTCCCCCACAAAATACGTTGGTTCTTCTGCTTTCCCTTTTAACCAACACCGGAGGTCGGGTACAGAGCCTCAAAAGAACCCGGTTTACGTCCCTATGGTTTCCCTTGTGCGGGAATCCCAAACGGTTCCTTCCCACATTCCCTACCTGTCGCACCTGCAAGATTGGTCCAAAATGTGTCTTCCAAATTACCAAAATCAAAGGGTTTGTTTACAGGACAAATTCTACAGGACATGGCCCCAAAACACCCTAAAGAAGCTGTTTTCCTGCAGAATGCACATGAATTTCCCGAAAGAACCCAACAAAAAAAACGAAGAACAACAAAACAACTCTTTTGACGCGAACCTCGGGTCTCCGCCTATGATGTGCGTCCGCTCCGCCATCGAGCCCGAGCAAATGGTGACGCAGGTGGCACAAAAGGCCCAGTGGTAGAGCTGCTGGGAGTACCTCAGCTCAAGTTTTCCCGTCAACGGGGGGGGGGACCTCAGCCGATTGGAAAATTGTCAAAGTGGTTAGCTTATGGCTAATACCCAGTGCCATAGGGTATCGGTTTTTTCTTGCTGACCCTTTCAAGAATATGTTGTTTATCCTCAAAGATATCGAGTCTTGAACAGAGTACTGAGTGTTTATCCTCATGATTAGCCCATGGCTACTGCCCGTTGCCATAGGGTATTGGTTTTCTTTGGTTTGCTGACGGAATATCGAGTTCTAAAAAGATGAGCCAATGCCTGACTTGCCCTATACTTGGCACCGCTTGGCGGCTTGGAGGTTTCAGGGGTCCCATTTACCCTCAAGGGCAAGGGCTGCACATCCTCAGACCCAGCAACCAATGTGAGTAACCTAGCTTGTCGGAAATATCAGGAAGGCCGTCTTTCTACCTTGACTGAACATGGTTGCCAAGAGAGTATCTCAAAAACGCACAAGCTTCGCTGCATAAAAATCGAATCACTCCCCATCCGCCTTAAGCTATCTGCGAGAAAAAACCACCTTCGCGGCGGCAAATTTGCCAAGACCCCACCCCAGGAAGAACATACGACACACGGGCCCACACCACTCGACAGCCGCCAACCCCCCCCCCCCCCGTTTTAAAATACTTGGATATTCGAGGTTGTCAAACCCACGCCATGGTGAGCGCTAGAACCATCTATCACCAAAACGGTTGACAAGTATACAAGAATTGTATAAATATCAAAAGGGTATGTGTCCAAATTAGGGGCTCACATCAGTCCACCAGAACAACAACTTCACAGTCCAACCTAGTGTTCATCCCCCCAACGCCAAACGAAAAGGACAAACTGGACTCAATTTTTTGTCTAGCCGGCCAAGCTGTCTGGAGACGGGTTGGCTTCCGGTGTGCTCTTTTCGATTCGAGCCGCATGAGTTGGTCATCTACTCCGTAGACGAGGGAAGACTCCCACAGGGCGCAGGCACTGGAAAACGCCAAGCAGGACACTGCAGAGTCCATGACGTTCTTCGCCAAGACCTAGCGATTGGAATTGGATCCCCAAAGTGGCGTTTCGCTCGGTTTTACCCCGAAACGGTACCCTCGGAAAACAACACATGACACAGGGCTCCCTATGTTTCCCCCTTAAACATTCCCCCAAGATGAAACTCAGGAACAATCGGACCAAAACAGAAGTGAATCGAAACTGCAAAAAAAAAAACAGGAAGTATCGGGCCGCCTGAGTGGACAAGATACTGATACACTAATGCACCTTCACGGGTGAGCTCGTGGTAAGCTCTTTGCAACTTTGTCTATGATAGGGGTCCAGCTGCTTCTGACACACGCTGCTTCCGACACACCGCTGGGCGCATCTTGCTTTGCGGAGAAACACGGTTGGTGGTTTTAACAGGGAAGGGGGTCTACTGCCATTAGGTGCGCCCTAAAGTTTGGCTGGATTTAAGGGGAAGCAAAAAGAAAACAAACCATGATTTGTTTTTTTGGGGGGTACAAAGTCGGTGAGTGAAACCCTTCGAGACCGACAGAAAAAAGAACCGAAAGCGGCCTTTGGCAAGTGTCCAGCTGGTTCTGAACACACAGCCAATCGAGGGGCTACGGAAAGTCTCAACCATACGGCTCCAATTAGGGTCCGTTTGCCACCTTTCCGGGAACAAGTTGGCGCTAGAATGCTCCGCTATGGCGAAACAACAACTAGAGGCTCCCAAACAACCCTGTCCGGCCTGCGCAGTCTTGCAGTAAATATTCAATAAGGCCATTGGCAGAGTCGTGAGGTATGGTCGATTCCCCCACATATTGCAAGTAGCTCATTCCTGACTGATTTCCATGCGCTGTTGCTGGTGTGCCATCGCCGTCTGACTGTGCGGTTTTTGACGGTACCTTTCTGGGAGGTATTTAAGGCAAAACCAAAAGGGAGACAACCTTTTTCGGGTACACTATTCTTCGCCCCGGGCAGGTGAATCCTGACTAAAGCTGGATGTGTAGATCCCCAGAATCCCCCCGTTCTCGTTCTTCTTTCTGCACTCATCCAAACTAGGCATCGGCGCCCTCAAGCATAGCATTCAGAACATTCTGAACAGTCAGGAAATGGGCGCGTTTATTTCTTTCTTTTTCCGACGGTACCCCTTGTTGGTGGTTTTTGTTCGGGAAACCCAAAGGAAAAGCCCCAGAAATGGCACACATCGAGTTGATCCTGGCAAAAGTACCGCAGTCTCGCAGTGTTTGGCTTGGCGCAATTGTTGGCACGGAGTGAGAAACATGCGAAAGTCAAGCCTGGGCTCAACTTAATCAACCTGGGCATATCGTTTGTGTGTGTATGTTGTTTTGTGTCTTCTTCGGAAAACGGCACATCAGTGTGTCTCGGATGGACTCAACATGAACCGCTTTGAACAAATAACGAAGCTTCAGCAGCAAACAAATACCCACTGGCGTCCGACTCGGGCAACTCGGGCTAAGGAGTACCACGGAAAGCACAAACAAGCACTTGTGACTCTGTGGACGGACTGGAATGGCAATTCCCCTGGGAAGGCCAACAAACAATGGTTTCAAAGTGGTGCAGGATTCTGTCCATCCACAGTACTTCAGCCCAATCACCCCCTGCCAACTGACAAAGCGAGAAACACGCCTGCCTTCAACTAGTTGCATGCAACAGGGTTTGCAAGTACACGCCCACCCCACGACGCTTGGGTTTTGGCTTCGTACAAACAAAAACAAACATCTGGTTGTCTGGTGCGCTAGATTTCCCTTTGGGTGTTTCTCCTCCGAAACCAACCCTCACCGTGCTTCAACACAAACCCCCCCAAATCCGACACGACACCCCGCCGTCATGCGGTGCGCTTCCCGCACGCTACCCACCTGAAGGGAGGGGAGCGATATTTCTCGGAGGAAGCTCCTCAGGGGGGGGGGTGTGAATCAAACGTTCGGAGGGGGCCCTAGGTTTGACACACGCACACACGCACACACCACATACCCACAGACACACGCTGATGTAAGCTGCAAAAGGCACCGACAGGGCTACGTGGACAGCCTCAGAAGGAACAAGGCTTGCTAGCAACATGCAAGGCACGGATCAAACTAAAGACAAAGCCCCAAGAATGCGCGGATCCGGCTTTAAAGAACATCTGGCAAAGGCTGGACACCAGAAAAGCAAGAGAATTTGTGTGGTCTGGCAGCTCGTGTGTGATTCAGCAAAATCAAACACCATTCTTCCGCAGAAGGTTGAAATCGAGCTCCGGAGAAAAGAATGTTTGGAAGGGCCTCTCATTGCAACACATTCAACCAGCAGCGCCAATTCGGCACTAATATCGCTTCTGGGTCTTCCACGTGGTTGCAACAGTTTTCAGTTTACATGGGCTTGGCACCCTTCAAATAGTTGCTGCCACGCTGGCTTCTTTTCGAAACTGTCCCAAGGGATACCTGATTTCAACGTGCATGCACACAAACCATAAGATCACTGTGACACCAGACAGGAAAGGAGCACCTTAAGATAAACAAAGGTTGGCGTCCTAAACAGGGGGGGAGGTCATACTTTGGACACCCCTCCCCACTGGTCCAAACGAACATACAATTGGCTAAGCGTCCAGAGGAGCTTCTTTTTTCCAGCAAAGGAAGTGGACTGCACTGCGCCTCAATCATTGCGAAGCCCAGCTGCATGGAAATCACCAGAAAGGTGCAGAGCAGAAGCCTGCGGGCTTCTAACTCGTGCGAGAGAGACGTAGCTGACCCAAGAACACGACGGCAGCTGTCCTTGTGGGCCAAATGACTTGGACCAAGCTGAACACTGAGCATAGTTTGTTTGAACCAATAGGTGAACCAATAGTAACCATGGGTTTAAAAAAAAAAAAAAAAAAAAACGGTAAACCCATGGTTTGTTTGAATCCATCTACTTTTCAATCAAACTTTGCGCATTTTGGTCGGCCGGGGAGGGAACGAGACACCTCTGTTGAGCAGTCTGCCATCATTGAGGAAACAAATTATCGGAGATGCGGGGGAAGCAAGGACGAAGATCTCCAACGTGCATGGTAGTGCAAGACAGAAAACGGAAAAAGACCCGCATCCTCACTGCGAGTTGGCTCTCTATCATCACATAGACACACAACCCACTCCTTGCGCTTGCCCACAAGACACCTGACAAAATGGCTCTACCAAAACGAAGATAGTCTTTCCAGTGGGATCCTGCAGGTTCCATCCATGTTAGTGGGTGAGGTCAAACTACCTTCAAATTCGCAAATCACATGTATTCCAGTTGCCCAACCAAGCTGTATGCTACGAAAAACATGTGCCAGTTGTGTTCAGGAACCCCACCTGCGACCTAGGAATCATTGTGGCATCCATATTGGCATCGCCGAAACCTTCGCGAGTGTCCCCTTCCAACATCCCGGCGCTCATTGTGCCTCATCTGCGCGGGTGAAAAAAAGAAAACATGTCATGGCCACCTATGCAAGAGATCTCTCAGGCGGGTCGGCGTCCTTTGGGTTTCCCTCTTAAACCACCAAAAGCCGATTCACTGTTTTGAGGTACTGTGGATGGATCACATCCTGCACCACCTAAGAAACCCTGGAACGATCATTCCTCTGGAAACACCGACAAACAATGACTTCCCATGGTTTCAAAGTGCAGGACGCCGCCCATCCACAGCATGAGTTGAAAGGGACGAGTGGCTTTTTCCAAAGGTGGTTCATTGACCTAACGCATCAATTCATGGCTTTCCTTAAATGTATTTCATTGAACTGACGCATCAACACGAAATCGTCCAACACGAAATCAGATCCGTCGAGTCTGGGGCCAGCGGCCACGCCGTGACCAGCCCATCGGCGATGTCCTGAGGCTCCCCTTTCCCGCGAACTAGTGGCTTGAAATTGGTGGATTGGTAGATTTAGGGGGTACTTTTCTTGTTTACCCTGCACAAGAACCAGAGAAACACAAGGGCAACAAATCGGGCCATAGAATTCACAAACCAGATGCTTGTTTTTCTTCTTCTATTTTATCGACCTGCGACCACAACCAGGGTTCCTTTTTTTGACCTCCTTGGGGTAGGCTTAAACCCAAGGGTTTCTCTTTTGAAACCCCCCTGAGTTTAAGTCTGCCTTGGGGAAGTCAAGAAACGAGACCCTGAGCACGACCATGTGGTGGTCCATCGCCGGTGCACTCTTCCAACGCCGGGGCAGGTGTTCCAGAGGGCAAACTTCTATGGCTACTCCCTGAGCAGGGTTTGGGAATCAAGCCCTGCAGTATGGCCAGGAACAAACAAGCAACCCTCAATTCGGCCATTCCCCAGCCTTCCTGAACCTCCTTCTCAGGTAAAGAAATTCGCAACTAGGCCCCCCAGTAGTGCCCTTCTCTCCCCTTTTTCGGGGGGAGGGTTCCTACATGTTCCTATACTAAAATAGACTGCAGAAAAAGGGTACCCTTATTCTAACCTCTCTACTGGAGGACCTAGGCAAAGAAACGGGTCTCCTCGATTTGGTCCATAACGTCGTATCCCCTTTGGATTTCGCAAGAGGCTTCAGCAAGTTGTTGGATCATCGCGCCCGTTGAAAGTTGCCTGTAAAGGGGTCACAAACAACCCTCACGCGAGGTCCAGCGAAAAGATGTCAAAAACTGCATGGTTCATTTGGGAGAGGAAAAGGACAGTTTTTTTTTTTGGGGGGGGGGGGGGGGCAGAGGTGGATTCCGGAAAATCACGGCGTGATCTGCCCCTGCCCATTTCCCTGACAAGTTCGACCTGTGGAGAAAAAGAAGGAAAAACAAGGTCTCTGCGATGGCCTCGTGCATTGAAGACTGCAAAAAGACTGGTCAAAGAACAACTGATCGACTTTTAGGCCGGTTGGTTTCATCGGGTTGATCGGCTTGCTGATTGGGATGTTGTTTTCTCGTGGCTTCCCCAAAAAATCTCAGAGCCGAACATGGAATCCAAAAATTGGGCGCCTCCCCCGTTTTCTTGGGCTCCAAACAAGGTGATTATACACAGACTGTGTGCGGTCAAGACTTGGCATCCTCGGCTTCAGGTGGGTTCATGGGCCAAAAAGGAGTGCCAAGCTGAAGCCACTTCTGTCATAGCTTGAGGGGATGCCTCTCACTTAGCAAGAAGGGAAAATCATACTCACCCCCCGCCACAGGGATCCTTAACACGGGATCCCAAAACAACCTCGACTGGTGGAAACGAAGAGGCAACACTAATTCCCAGAACCCTGTTCCGTGATATGTGAGCCACGACCAAAATATGCGGATACCCTCATGAACATAGGCAAATGAGAGCGTCCTGGCGTGAGGGACATTTCGTAAGTCTTCTATGCCCTACCCAGAAGCCCTGTGGCAAGAGGCAAGGGTTGATGAATCCGCTCGTTTTGCTGAAAGGGGATATGGGGATTCGTTGTTTTGAAAGGGTACCTCTGATCGTTTGAACTTGTAGGCTTGCGGTCAAGCTTCTGAGCATCCATCGCCGCAGAGACCTCGGCAAAGGCGCGGGGCTTTAGCAAAACCAGCTAGCCAAACACTCTGTGGACAATGCACCACTTGAGTCATAATCAAAACCCGGTACACAAATGGTCTACTCAGAACCATGTAAAGAATTTAGAAGGCTGCCGCAGCTACTTATGGTTGGGATTGTCTCTTACCAACCTTCGTCTGCCCGGGTTTTGATTGTGGCTCACTTGGTTGGCGGTCTAGTTATCAACGGTTCATCTATCCCAACTGGTGCGAAGTGGAGGTTTTCCATCCACAGTACCAACAAAAAGCTTGGCTATTCGCCAAATGCTCCAAGCTGGTTTCAAGGACTGCGTGCTCTTGCTTTGCGCGTTCGCGTCACAAAAACGGATGACAAATCCCCTCAATCCCTGCAAGCCTGCATCAGAAGATTGGAGATGCCTCAAAGTCCAGTGAGCCATGGAAGCAACAAAACAGACTGCACTGGCTGCCACCTTCACCCTATCCGAAAACACGGAACCTGACACTCACTTCCTGAGTGGAGAGGCCTAAAAAAGTCCGAACTTTCTATGTACCACAAAACTCGATTGCTTTCTGCTCCCCTGATAAAAGCTTAACTGTTTTTTTGTCTTAATGGAAAACCCATTTGTTGGCAAAAAGTTAAAGTCCTAACATCCAAGCAAAATGCACCTCTAAAACATGGTCTTCCCAGAAAAGTTCATTCAAAGTCCAGGAACTCAGGACGTGAGGGCAGGCTCCAGGATTAGACCAACCGTTTCTCGGAGGGAATGCCGACCAACGTCTGTCTGAATCTCCGAGGCGCTCGAGACACCAGTCACATTCAAATTGGTCAGGTTCATCAGTTCATCTGACCTCAGCCAGTTTCAGCGAGCGAATGTGCGAAATTATCTCTCAAGGTTGGCTTGGAGTGGCTTTCTCCTTTTCTTCAGGACGCGCTGACTGAATCAAAAGCTCCACATGTGCTGACATTTTAAGGCCCCTTGGTTGAAAATGTTGCAAGCAAAGTACACATGGCTTGGTCAAAATCATTGCGGGAAACCTTTGGAAGATCAAGTTAGCTTTTGCGCCCCTGACCGGCAGAACTTTTCCAGGAACATTGAAGGGAACATCAATCCGGGAGCTTCAGCTGGACGTCTTGTTTGTCTCATCCAAAATGAGCGGCAATAACAAGAAGCCCGTCTCAGGCGGTTTCATAAACCCACCATCATTTCATAGCTTTGCTCTTTTAAACATTACAGCCTGGGTCTGTTGGTTGAGGGGAACCTGACTCACGGGTAGAATATGGTTGGGCAAAGGTTGCGATAGTAGAAATAAATGCATGTACAATGTGCATATATATATGTACATTCTGTTATATATATATATATGCACATTGTACATATGTATGCCACATATGTATACATACAGAGACATACATACACAAAACAGACATACACAAGTACGTGAATTTGTTCAGGTTCTGAAAATCCGTACTGAAACCGAAATGTCCATGAGCGGAACAGATGGATTCTGTACCACTACAATAGTATTACTTAAAAAGTAGCTGAAGTCCAGGAACTCAGGAAGTCCAACTCGAAAAATCCGACGTGCTTCCCACAAAAAGTCCAAAGATCCAACCAACATAAAGCAACACATGGCTCCTCGCGGTGCCGCCTCAACCACCCCATTCAAGCGGGATTCAAAATGAGGGACGAAGGGCCGACGAAAAAGCGACGGTGCCCTGGGGCCGGCGCGAACATCCGCGGCCTCGTTTTTGGCCTGGGCTGGAGGCAGCTGAACAGCTAGGGTTCCCTATATGAATTTGTCTCACAATAGGGGAACCTTGGAATAGTTTCTTTTTCCGGTTGCTTCCTTAAAAAAGAAACATCCAAAAAGGGTACCCTCAAGAAGCACATGATGCCCCGTACCAAGGGATGCGCGCCTTAAATGGGCCAAGGTGAAGGGAATTCCAGACTTCCTCGGTGTGTACTTCAATCGAGGCTACCCTTTTCAGGTAGGAAAACCAAAAGGAAACCTCTCGAACTTGGGCCCCCCCCTGATTTTGACCCCACGTGGCACGACGCCTTTACAAAGTGAGAAACCCAAAGTGGGGTCATGGCGCATGACGAGCCCCCCGGCTCATTCCGGCTTTTTGATGAACAAGAACAAAGTAGTCCATATATGTGTATCTATATATATATATACACGGTAGCCCCCCCGCCCATGGACCATGTAATATATATATATATGCCCAGGAAGTCCACAACCCCGTTTCGCCCACCTACAAAAGAACGCCTACAAGGGTAAAGCAGGGTGGTTCCACCCGCATTCCAGTTTGACCAGGTCTTTGGAAGGTTCGGGTACACCAAAAAAAGTGAAGCAACTAACGCTTCAAGAACGTCCTTCGGCTCTTTTCAAGGGGGGCCGTGATTCAAACAAAAACCAAAGCCGCAGCCTACAGTGCTAAAACTTGGATCACTATAGAAGCTTAATTATGCTTTTGCGCGAGGTATGTTAAAAGCATGCGGGGTGTGCCTGTGCCAGCCAACTTGGGCACCTGCCGAATAGGGTCGCTCTTCGTGCACGCTTAAACAAACATGTTGTACATATCACTACCCAACGCAAAACAAAACACAACTGCAAGTCTGCGAAAAGCAAGTTAATGTCTTGCTTAAAAAACCGGCCGTCAAGCCGAGACAGGCTCAGCCTCAGCCCTCGTACGATAGGTTTTCGCGTTCTTATGATGGAAGATCTAGGGAAGGCCTGTCAAGATTGTCTTCATCCTTAGCTACAGCAACGAAATTGGCGAGATGAAGGCTAATGGAGCGGGAAACAAAATGGCCTTCTAACGCGGACAGCCGATGCGTCGAACGTAATTAGGCCAGAGCACGACACATCACTCGAATATTTGAGACACTTCCTCCGAAAGCGTGGCGAGTTTACAGCTACAGGGCCCAGTCCTCTAGCTCCACACGCAAGCAACGCGGTGTTGTTTGATTCCGCAACACTGTGTGCATTTGTGTTGTTTTGTCGGCCACGGCTGGTTTGTGTAGCGCTACATGACTTTGTGAGGGCTCCGTGGCTGATTGTTTTAGGAGTGTCTGCACAGAAGGCTGCACATACATGCACATGCGTATACACATAAACCAACAGACTAATAGACCCCCAAGAATGAATTTTGGCTGGTTTTTGAGTGGAAGCAATTCGTTATAGACTGGAATTAAACAGGCCCTTCGGGGATTGTCATGGTGATAGGGTCGGATGGGTCAAGTGAAGCAAAATAAGGTTGGAGATGGGGGAAGAACTATGTAGGGGCAACAAACCCTTGGCTTCACTTTAGGTTAGTTCTAATGTTCCTGGCCGGCAAGTTGCTTAGCTTTGTTCAGGGTCAATGTCTTCTTCATAAGTGGGCGATATTCGTTCGACTCTTGCTACTTAGTTACTTCTGGCCTGCTCCAGCTAAAATATGCAACAGCTTGGGCATTTAAGCATATGTGCCTTCATGTGGCCCCCTTCCCTTCCCATGGGGGGCCAAGCTGAGCGTGGCTTGGGCAACAAGCGCGCCAACTTTGAAATGCATGCGCATGGTAAAGGAAGCCTGGTCCCCACTGGCGTGGCTCCATGGTCATCTAAGATCGCTTCCGGGCTACAGTTGTGTGTAAAATCTGCAAACTTCCGCCAGCCCACCTTGATACATTGGTAATATTTAAGCACGAAGGGTCTTTGTCAGATACAATAGAATTGCAGTTCTTTTGGTTTCGGGCGTGGTTACTTAGTCCTTTGGAAATCCGCTCTTCTTTTATTGCATTTGTAATTTTCGCGTGTTTTTGGTCAATAGCCTTGTTTTGTGTTTTTGTTTCTTTGCCGCTTTTCCCGCCACGGACCGTTTGTGGCAAAACTGTGGCAGTTTGTGGCAAACCTGTGGCAAAACTGTGGCAAGACTTTAGTGGCAAAACTGTGGCAAAACCTTTGTGGCGAAACTGTGGCAAAACTTTTCCCCTTTACTTTGGTGTTGAGTTTTGCCACAGTTTTGCCACAAAGGTTTTGCCACAAAGGTTTTGCCACACAAGTTTTGCCACACAAGTTTTGCCACAAAATCAGCTTTGCCACAGTTTAGCCACAAACGGTCCGTGACTGAAAAAGCGGCAAGAAAGAAGAAGAACAAATTACTTCGCTTCGAGCAATCCCCACCCTCCACACTCACGAGCTTACGAGCGTTACAACGAATTCCTCCGCATCCTGGAGACTTCGACTCCAAATTCCCGTCGGCTAGCTCAACAAGCTTTGCATTGAGAGCCTTATCATACTTATCCACCTGTCTGTGTGTCAAACTCCACTTGTCTGCGAGCCAATCTCGAGAACTCAAACATCGGTGCCGCTAACAAAAGCCAAGCCCCTTCCAAAAAGAAACCCAACGGCAGATTAAACGAAGTTGCTTATTCACAACCCAAAAGCAACACAAAAGCATCACCCTTTCCGAGCCTCAGGGTACACTCAAAACACGAAGGCGCCAACATGAAATGTAAAACCCAACTGCGCGCCGGGCGGGACATTAAACAAAACCAGACTGGCGAGCGGCTCTGGCGGACCCACTGGCAAATACTGGCGAGCCGCTCCGGCTCGATACTGGCCGGATACTTGGCTCGGCAGGATCCACCGGCAAGGGATACTCAGCGGGATTGGCGTGATCCACTGGCGAGCTGCTCTGGCGGGATACTCGGCGGGATCCACTGGCGAGCAGCTCTGGCGGGATACTGGGCGGGATCCACTGGCCATCTGGCGGGATCCACTGGCGAGCCGCTCTGGCGGGATACTCGGCGGGATCCACTGGCGAGCCGCTCTGGCGGGATACTCGGCGGGATCCACTGGCGAGCCGCTCTGGCGGGATACTCGGCGTTCTGGCGGGATACTGGGCGGGATCCACTGGCGAGCAGCTCTGGCGGGGTACTCGGCAGGATCCACTGGCGAGCTGCTCTGGCGGGATACTGGGTGGGGGCATGGTGTAGAAGCATCGCAAACGCGGATTCCAACATAAATCTAACAACCCCTTCCTGTCGGGTGGGGAAAACACACAATAATGACACATGCAACAAACAAGAACAGAACTCCATAGCAAACAACAGCATTGCCCATTTCGAACGGACTAAGTAACCATGCCCGACTCCAAAAGGACTGCAATTCTAATGTATCTTACAAAGACCCTTCGTGCTTAAAGATTACCAATGTATCAAGGTGGGCTGGCGGAAGTTTGCAGATTTTACACACAACTGTAGCCCGGAAGCGATCTTAGATGACCATGGTGGGAAGCCACGCCAGTGGGGACCAGGCTTCGCTTAACATGCGCATGCATTTCAAAGTTGGCGCGCTTGTTGCCCAAGCCACGCTCAGCTTGGCCCCCCATGGGAAGGGAACGGGGTTAGCGAAATCAAAACACATCAAGGCACATATGTTTCAATGCCCAAGCAAACACTTTGGAACTCAAAAACAGTAGGCATGTTGCATATTTTAGTTAGAGCAGGCCAGAAGTAACCAGGTAGCAAGAGTCGAACGAGTAACGCCCACTTATGAAGAAGACATTGACCCTGAACAAAGCTAAGCCCAGGAACATTATAAATAACCTAAAGTGAAGCCAAGGGTTTGTTGCCCCCAAATAGTTCTTACCCCATCTCCAACCTTATTCTGCTTCACCCAACCCATCCGACCCCATGGCAAACCCCGCCCCGAACACCCTTTTTAATTCTAATCTTTGGCGAAATTACAGCTTCCCTTCATAATTTGATGGGGTAATGTATGGAGAAAAGCCTGTTTCAAACCTTCTCAACCAACCTCAGGCAATCAGCCAAGGGTACCCATCCCCCCCCCCACCTCGAGTCATGTAGCACTACCAGAAACTGACCTAAAAAAGCAAAGCGTGTATTGCCTCCTAACGATTGCTTCAACCCGTATCAATTCCGACTGAAGCCAACCACACATCAATCATTTATGGAACATGGTCATAATAATTCCTTCATATAACACCTTCTGAACAAACATCCCAAAGTGGGTACCCCGAACAAAGTTATGTGGTACTAACAGAAACCAATCCCAAATGAAGCTACGGGCCCTAAACAATGCTTATTCCCTTTTGATTCCATTCTTTGGCGCCATTAGCTTGCCTTTATACAGCCGACCAAACAACAAATGTATTGGCTTGTTGCTCAACATGTCCAAAAAGGGTCCCAAAACAATAAACTAAAGGTGACCCCTACAAAGAAATAGGCTCCCCACACTATATCAAGCCGATGGTCTGGGTAAATAAACTTAATGGCATGGGGCACTTTTTGAAATAGATGCAAATGCGAAACCAAAAATTCCTTTTTTAAAATTATATTGCCAAGCTTCTTGAACCTGAACCCAGCACAGAAACAATTCGCACATAGCTTTGCCCCTTCCAAAGAAGTCTTGCCCAAAAACGTTTCCTCGAAACAGATCCTACTACACAAGCATTTCAAGAGTAGCACTGCCCTCCGAAATAGTACTGCCAAATTTCCTGAACTTTGACCCAAAAAACGTGTGTGTGTGTGTGTGTTTTGTAACTGCCTTCCAAACTAACCCAAAACATCCGACCCAACATCCACAGTTCTTAACATGGCTCGCGCAAAAGCATATAAAACCGTGGACAAAATCCACGCTTGAACCCCGACTGGTTGATAAACCCAGCAACTGCAGGTGTTGATTCCTCAGCACGGCTTGTTTTTGGTCCACATGCGTTTTGAAGACCTCGAAAACGGTGGTCCTCTTCTTCCCCGTTTCAAACCACACGGGTATCAAAAAAAGAAAACCCAGCCGAGTGAGCTTTTCCACTGGGGCCCCTGACGTCAAGCCCGCAGGACCGGGACGGGGACCCGGACGATCCCAACCGCGGCTCTCGAGCTGGGCTGATCACCGGACTCTGAGTGGCGTCTCGTGAGTGCGCTGTCGTGCGTCCCGTGCGTCGTCAGATGCCTCCAATGACCCCATCGATTTTTACATATTAACTGCTCTGCCTGGCCATACCTCTACTTCAACTGGCCGCCTGCCAACTGGGCGCGAAATCAGCGACGCGCTTTCGGGGGCGCACGGTGCGCCGATGCTACGACTTGAGATGGGCGCGGAAGCGGCGGGCGATGTCAGAGAAGTCACTGTAAGGGACACACGTGGGGTGAGAAGCAATGAGAAAGCACCAACCTAATAGATGAAGGGCCCCCAAGGGAACCTTCACGGCAAGACAAACCGCCTGGTACAAAAGATTCGAAGGCATGCACTCGATGCTCGAACTTTCCAAATGAAATGAGCTCTTGTTGAACTATTTCTTCGGGCTCAACGATTGGCGTGTGACTTGAGAAAACACTTGAGGACACTATCGAATACAGCAGGCTTCAGCTGTTGTCTTTCGCAACTGACAGGTTGGCTTTGACGAGCATGAAATAAACTCGGCCCTCTGATCCAGGCAACACATCTTCCTGCAACCTTAAACTCTGCCAAACCAGTAGCGTGTGTCCATGAGTCAGATTCGCGTTGGTGGATGCCTCACTTCAAGAGGAAGCGGTTTTGCGCCCTGACTCGCTGGACAGACGGGTGTGTGTGTGTGTGTGTGTCAAAATAGGGACAACCCAAAACAATTTCCTTTTGGTTCTTCGTTAAACCAAGGTGACAAGGGTATCCTCAAACAACAAAGACCCACACACACACACACCCATAGGTTTGAAGCTGTGAATTGCAGACAGGGGCATGTTAAACAATTAATCCTAAGAAGAAAAAAACCGCCTAAAGGCAAACGTGGCGCAAGAAAGGCGAAGCTGCCTCTTCAAACGACAGGATTGCTCAAGCCTCACAAGCCAACGATCTCGTTTTGTGGCAAAACGGAAATCTGTCCTGTTCAATTCGGTATGGGTCAAAAATAGGTACCCAAAATGGGGCCCTGGGAAATGGAAACATAGACTAAAACCTGCGGTCCCCTGGTGGTTTAATTTTGCAATTGCTCCCAAGCACGGCAGATGCCCGCCAGAATCGGCGCTGGCTGCGAGGCCTCCCAAGCACAGCGGGAGTCGGCGAAAACAGAAAAAGTGGCACGTGTTTGGCGGAATCCTTCGCTTTCGGGGAAACACTCCACTAAAAATCCGCTAGGTTGATTTATCCGGGGTCAACATTGGTCGCTTGGGTCAGTGCTTCTCATTGGCGTTGGTGGCATTTGTTTTGCCATGGTTTCTAAAGCGAGTGATTTGTGGTGACTGGGGATATTGGAATCGATTGGGAGTATTCTTACTGTCGAGGAACAACATCCTGCACCAGTTGGGATGGGTAAAGCCCTGTGAATACTGGGATAAACCACCTACGAACTGGTGCGAAACGAGTTTTGCCCATCGGTATGGCGGTCACTTTTTGGCCAAACACATATGGGCCGCTTGCAAGACCCACGCAGAAGGTCCGGTGTTGTTGTTTGCCCACGTACACCCGGGCCTAAAAACGTTGAAGCGCAGGTCCTGTGTGCGTGAGAGGTCTGGCTACTGACCATTAGCATTGTCTAAACTTAGGTATGTTTGGGAAGTGTGGTTGTGAAGGCCCAGTTCAGGTAGTGGCTGTCTTAACGGGAATGCCACAGAGGTTTCGAAATGATGTTGGTATTGGAAACCCTTTAATGTTGTAGAGAGATAAAGGCAAACCCGGCGTGAAGCGAGCAACCGACTATCGCAACCCACCTGATTCTGGCACCTGACATTGCAGCAGATGTCATGGATTCCCCGGTTTGAGATGTCTGTTGCCTCGACGTACAAGCGAGCGCTGGACTCGCAAGTTTAGTGCAGAACGAGCAAGTCTGGGAAGATTCATTTTGCGAAGATTTGAATGCTTGCTTGGGGCATACCAGTTGATCAAGTGTCCGCCACAAATATGCGGAACATTAAACCCTCTTTTCTCACCGCAACTTACTTTTGAGTAGGTCAAAATGAGAAGGCAAAGGATGTCTGGCTCCTGCCAGATCCAGGCAGTTTGGCAGGGACTCTTCACAAAAAAAGGAACAACGCATGTGGTGCAGGATATCGTCCATCCACAGTATTGTGGGACTACAGCTTCCTCTTCTACTTCGGTTGCACCTTTCCAGTTCTTGAAAGAAACTTCCCCCCGCTTCCTGGGGTGTGGCTAATTTTGCAAATTCCTAAGATTCAACTGCAATTGAGAAAGGCTGGTGCTATGTTGGTTCCAGCCATCACTAAACCAAACGAACAAGTTTGCCAGGCAAATGCCGACTGTCGCCCCTTTCTCAGAAATCAGCAGACTCAACTCAGGGCCGTGCTCCTGGCATCGGGGTGGCAGCGACCCGGGGTGGACTTGTACTGATGGACGAAATCCATTTCGCACCACCGTTCATGATAACTCACCTGTAACGAACAACATAGCTTCCATGGTTCTAATGGTACCATTTTGGGGTAGGTGCACCACCCGGTCTTTGTCCCCGGAGCTCAGTCGATTCTCCTCCGTCCAAAGGCTCCCAAGCAAAATCCGTCCGAAGCAGAGAAATGTCGGCAAAAAGAGGCTCATACTGTGGATGGTAGCGAAATCCATTTCGCACCACTTTGAAACCATGGGAAGCCATGGTTTGTTGGTATTTACAGGGGAATAATCATTCCAGGGTTTCTTAGGTGGTGCAGGATTTCGTCCGTCCACAGTGGGTTCACAGGTAGGAGGTGAGTTTGGTACCACCAGAACTGCCAGGAGTCGCCAGGAGATCAACTGGCTGGTGCTTGGGAAGCCCAATACTGTGGATATACTTCATGAATGTGGGGGTGACAACTTGCGCCCCAAAATTCGCAAGTTTGTAAGTCAGCCTAGGTTACAACCCACCAATCTGTGGATGGGTCCTCGAACTCCATTTCGCACCACATTGAAACCATTGCTGAAACCATAACGTTTCTTGGTATTTACGTTGGCGAATCATCAGAAACCAGGGTTTCGTGGGTGGTGAGAAATGGATTTCGTCCATCCACAGTAGGAGCGGGGAGGTAAAGGCTATCACCTAGAAACCCGTGGGTACCACCAGAACTGACCAAGCCTTCCTGTGGGGACAAAAAAGCTAGTCAGGCTATCTCCTAGAAACCCCGAAAAAAAGCCTCATGGTGTCCAAAAAAAGCGGAGAAAAACAATTGGTTGCCTATAGTGCTGATTGGGCTTACCAGGCCTCGCAGCACGCTGCAACATTTAGCTGGGACATGCGGAAACATCCAGACTTAGCAAGTTCGACATTCCGAAAAAATAGCTATCGATAAGATTGGTCCCTTTAAATTTTGGATGTCTTTAGGTAAGACTGCATGTGTGTGTGTGGCGGTGGTGTTCCCTTGTGCACCCAAAGTTGATTGGAGCCTCGTGCGCATGTGCGCGCCCGGCCAGCCTTGAGCTCGGGAAAATGGAGACCAAAGCCGCCCCCAGCAAGGGTTTTGGAAGTCATCCGAGAGTTGCTGAGTTGGGTGGCGATTTCTACGTCCTGGACTTCCTGTACTGTTGCCTTCGGCCAATTGCACAGGGTGCACCCAAACCTTAAAAAGTCGCCTTAAAAAGTCGCCCAGCGAGCCTTGCAAATATGAGGCGGGCCGAGCCAAGTATCGCACTAGCGCGGAGAAACGGGGGCGCTTATTTAGCGCCCACGTCTCTATTTTGCCTTGCCAGGTATGCCTACAAGTTCTGCACTTCTAACCAAATCTATGGGGGGTAATTTGCAAATACCGGCTTGCTCTGGTCAAAACCGCATAAAGAAGGGGATCCTAATCGCCAGAAAGTGAAGGACACTCGCGGCAAAAGGCGAAGTGGTCAAACAAACTTCGCTACTCTTTCTCGACCCCTTGTAACGGCTAGAAATGGAAAAAACCCATCCGAGCCTCGAAAAAGGAACGTGGATCCATCACTCCAGCGTCCCCGATGAAAACCGGCCCAGCAAGGTCGTAAAAGTGCGTCCGATGTTGGCACGGAACGCTTGGGACTCTCGGATCGCCACGGTCGGGCAAAAGAAAGCGCGGTAGCTTCATTGGTCGAATGCCAGAGGTACACAAAGTTCGTTTTACAACCGAATGTCTTCCGGTACTTTGTTTTTGATTTTCAGTGGTTTCAGTATTGCGATGGTCCAGTGCTGCTTAGAATTAGCTTCGTATGGCGCTGGCTGGCCAGATGCTATTCAAAATTGGTGTGATCTTGTAGTTTGCTTGCTGTTGGCCAGCTGTGCTACCCTTTGCCAACACTGCTGAGATGGGACTGTTCAAGAAGGCTTCAAGGACTTTGCAAGTTGCTCCAGGCGGGGTTTCCTCAGATTCAGGCTAGAGCTTGAAAGGCACGTCTCTTTAATCTTTGCAGCGACTGTTCTGTCTTGAATATTCATGGAAGCGCTCTGGCCCGGTCCCTTGCCTGCCTGCCTACGATTCTAGTTCTGGCGTGGGCCATGTAGAAACACGTAAACATGCACCCGCCGTACATCTTGGAAAGCTCACGCAGTTCAGGGCTGACTCACTCCAATAGAAAAAACGGCACTTGTACTTCAAAGCCAACTAAAAAAAATAATCCATCTGATTCTGGCCGCGACGGACAGCGCAGAGCAATTTCGATTATGAATTAATCAAGTAGCACGATGATTCTGCGGGGCAAGCTTGATTTCTATGGTGGGGGAGTGACAGAAAATCGGGGCCCGTTTGAGATGCCAGTGTATGGTATGCCGACTGTAGATGCCGGCGACCCCTAAGGGCTCAACCCAAGTTGTCACCCTGACCCCCCCCAAAGTAGACAACCTGAGGAGCACCCAAAACGGTTCACTTTAAAGGTTTGTATAGGCCCTGCTGTGGAACCAGGAAAGAGAAACACCAACTACAATGTCCCACGCTGGTCCACTAGGCGATCACTTGTCCGCTCTGACCCTTCGTTGGGGTAAGGGAAACTCAACTGCGCCAAACCACCAACGC